ACACACAATTCTAATAGGCAAGTTTTCAGGCAGTATAAAATGTTGAATACGTAGTACGTATGTATAATGAGGCATTTGAACAGATTCCAACAAAGAAGTGTAAAAATAGAGAACTGAATAAAATGGCAAATTGTGATTGTTCACATTCCGCGCTTCATAATTAGATGAACAACAGGTGGACCCCCTCCAAAGACGTTAAGGTCGCACAGGTGGGAGGTAGCCAGATCGACTCAAATACTGTTATATATTATAGTATTTATATATACACACGGAAATTCGGAATCAGCATACCCACAAGGCTTATAGATAAATAAATATAAGCCACGTGTACATTTAATAATTTGCATATGCATATGTGTACATAGAATAAAAGCAATATTTATTGAACAGCTCTAGACTTTTAAGCATATACACATAAATTACAATAGAGTGCACATTGAACTCTAATCCTGTTTATTACATAATGCTTGCAATAATATATCTGGCCGGTGGGTGTATTTCGATTGTGCCCATTTGTTAATCAATTGCAATACCTTGTTGCAATTGTTTTAGCTTTTACTGGATTTATTTTGGCTGTTCTTTGTCTTTATGTAAATTTGTAAAAATAGTTGCAACGAATTGCATGGCTTTAATGTATTGTTGTCTATTTTAAATATAGCGTTGCCACATCGTGAAAATGTCATTTGGAAGACCTAAGAAATCCGGCAACTATTGCGCTGAATACTTAAGTACAAACAATGCTTGTATTTTTAAGTATGTCTGTAAAAATAAGCAAACATACTTTGGCCACACTTGCCTTGATTTATTAGCCAGCGTCTTCGCTCAGAATCGCAAGACAAAAGCAAAACAAAGGAAAGTTGCCGCAAAGCCAAAAAAAAAAACAAGACACACAAACAATAACGGCAACAATGAAGCACCAGGAAGCATCTGACGGATTACACATGTGCAGTCAATGAAAGAAAATAAGTGAGAGAAGGTGGAAGAGGGAGAGGGAGAGGGCGCAGACGGAGTGCAAAAACTATGCTGCATTTTCTATTTCATTCATTCGCCTGCTGACTTTGCCGCCTCTTCTACTGTGCTTTGATGTTGGAAAACGTAACGTTATTTACGAGGTTTCCAAGGCAAGAGTAGGCAAACAAAGAAGTGTGTTAATGAACAGCGCAAAAAGAAAAGCAAGACGAAAAAGAAATTGCAACAACAACACTAGCGAAGCAACCGGAAAGTGAAGCAACTCAAAAAACTGCTTCATTTTATTTGTATTATATACATACACACATACATATGTGCAAAAACAAATGGAGAGAGAGAGAGGAACAAAAATTAATTCCATGATGCATTAGTATGCGCATGCATGTGTATGCACATACATATACACATGTGCCTTTCCAGTGGCTTATGTGCATATAAAAAAAAAAACTTTAATGAATTTATTACATTTCAGTGCAGCGAGCGTAGAAATTTTCAATTAAACGCAAATAATAAATTGCACTATAAAAACAGCTATAAAAATTGGGTAAAGCAGCAGAAATTGATAAATGGGAAATGGGAAGCATCTAAATCGATTGAGCCATGCTTGGCTGAACCAAAATGATGTGCATGTGTGTGTGTGTGTACCGAACGAATTGACCGTATATGCCGTTAGATAATCACGTATATGTATGTATATGCAAATGTGTGTCTTTAATCTAACTGCATTTGCCATACCCTCTAATGTTCCAGACACAAATTATTGAGATCTTTAACTGTACCTTATACATACGTAATTTATAGGTATGCATATGGTCTGTAATATCGCATCTAATCAGGCTAGCTCTATTCCATTGAACCAATTTTAAATCTTATCTAATCTCTACACTTATTTTATACGCAAGCGAGATAGAAGGCTACAATTCCAGAAGCAGTACTGTCGAAAGCTATCTTATTTCTGTAAGTTTTCAACAATTATCAAGTCAAGTTATTTCTTTACATCATTTCGAAAATGACCTCCACTCGGCGAGGTCACAAATATAAAACTCTGATTTTAAACAGATTTTTTAATGGATATTTTACGTGTAAATTGTTTCTAATTTCATTTCATTTCATACACTCCACATTTGTGTATATATATATTTGAACATAGCTTGTGAAACGAGCAGAGCGTACGGCAATCAAAACGTCAAGCGGATTGATGGATTGACGTGCGATTGCAGTTAAGAGCAACAAGGGAAGATACAACACTTAAATCGAGAGTGTAAGGGGGAGTGTGAAAACTTATTTTTGGAACAGTATAAAATGAAAAAGATCTTAACGGGACACATTATATTTCCAGGCAGCATCGTGAGAGCGTCAAGCGATTCGTCTTCCTAAATTTAGAATTCAATGAATTTGTGTTTGGAAATTTCTTTTATTTTGAGTGATGTTTGAGGCTAAAAATAACTAAAACTGAAAATGCTCGATACAATACTAATAGAAAATCTGATATATCTAATTAGATTCGTGTCGATTTGTGCAATGCTCATTATACTTGGAAGAGTTTTCAATTGGAAATTCCAGGTTTTTTTCCATTGAAATGAGCTGCCGCCTGGCAAAACAACAAAAATTCCCAGTCAAAGCGGCCATTTTCAAAGTCGTCTCAGACAATTACATACGTACATATATATATACACGTATTACTAAATACGTATACATACGTATGTATATACATACGTACAAACATGCCTTTATTAAAATCAAGAACAGAATCAAAATTACTATACGTAGTTCGCAATTTACAACACGAACAGACCGATGGCTACTGTTGTTTCTTTTTGTTGTTTTTGTTTGTGCTGTATCAAGTGTTGTGTTCCGCACATGTTGCCAATTTGTATAGTGTGGGTAACGTATGCAGTTTTCACATGTTAATGCAACTGCCTGCGCGCTAGTGTTGGTAAATGTTGCGGCTGTTGTTGTTGCTAGCTGGTTTCCAACTTCTGCCAACGTCAGCGAATTAATCATGCAAGCCCCACTGCCAGCGATTACAATAGCTAACTACGAATGAGGAAAATAAAAATTGCGGTTAAAACGCAGCTGGCCGTGTGTGTGAGGGAGAGGAAAAGAGACTGAGCCAGCCAGGGCCAAAGCAGCGCAGCGATGACGTCACAAGCGCACACAGCCGCACGCTACATCTCGCTGCTTGACACCATTTGCGCTATTGCTCTTAATTAATTACAGGTCTCCTTCATTGTATTTTTTTCTTTGTAATATATTTTTAAATGATAAGCAGAGACCAACACAAAGTGAGACGCACCAACTATTATCATAATTATAGAACTGAACTGTGTGCGTGTGTGTGAGAGTACAGGCAAATGCAAATTAGGTTATCAGCGTTTTGATGTTAATGTTGCTTTCTGTTGGCATACGCACCTTCGGTTTATTTAGCCACTTGCGAAATGTATCCATGGTTCAGCTTGGCCGTCCCGTTACCGTCAGCTTAACAGCTGTTAAAACTTTAACTGAGCCACCGTCTCTCTCCGCCCGACTACTACACACCGATGACAATTAATCTGTGTGTAAGCAGGCTGTCAAATGACTAGCAGTTGGCGCCGATTTGCTCCAATAGATGGCGTCGTTGTCGTCCTTGCCCAACGCGCGCGACTCGCACACAACAACAATAACATAAACGAAATGGCGCGTATGACAAATCCAAACAAAACAATAGCAAATATGCAAGAGACCACAATAACAACTATGTGTCTGGGTGTGTGTGTGTGTGTGCCTGTGTTTTGTTTGTGTGCGTACTATGTTCTGCTTACTGCTTGGCCACACTGCGTTCAATACAAGCGCATATGCATGCGTGTGTGTGTTGTGTGTGAGTATGTATGTTCGACTTTGTGCGCTACTGTTGCATTCGCGTTGTTGGATTTTCACTTTTCGGGCATTTTCAATGCACTTTATCGAATTTTACACTTTTTGTATAATTTGTATAAATTGCTTCGTCTCATGCTTCTTTTTATTTTGTAACTTTACAAGTGCTAAATTAATTTTCTTTTTTTAAATGCCTTTTGCACTTGGCTTCGTGTATTCGTATTCGGTTTGCTTTTAACACACACGCGTGACTGTTGCGTGCTCTTTCACTATCCAAAAATCATTTGAACTGCATTCCTTAATGTGGAAATTGCGTCGATTTGTTAAAATTCTTAAATTAGGTTGAATCTATACCAGAACACAATGGGAAAATAGTTTTTTTGCGAAAAAACCATTAAACTCACGCAACACTTATCCGCCCTACCGTCTAACCAAGCGAAACATGTACGTTGCGTTCAAAGATTTTTTTTCGACTAACATATGTTAAGATTTTTTTGTTATTTAAAATAATGTAAACGGAATGTTAACACGCTAACCATCGATAAGATATTCGATAGCCATCGATGATGTTGCACGCTGGAAATGGTACGCTGGTCAAACTCAGATTTTCGCTTACACAGTTAACATATGTAGGAGAATATTGCTTGCTCAAATTATGTTGCTATTCGAGTAGTTAATGACTGAACATTGTTCATTTGTTAGCCGAATTTGGCATATCACTTTTACTTTATTCGATGAATGCAAAAAATATATTGTGCATTAACAGTTTCTTAACATGCTCTTATTTGCGTTATCGTGCTCATATTTGCGTACACATCCCCCTAGCATTAAAATAACTGTTAAGCAGCAAAACGAATTTACGTTCAAGACCTAATAGAAAAATAGTATATATATGTATGTGTATATTATGTATATATGCAAATTGTAGTCAATGTAATGTATAACGGCAGAAATCTATTCTAATTAGAAATTTGAATTCGCCTTGAATTTTAAACATGCCGTATCAGTCAACTCAGAACTTTCATTGAAACAACTGGCAACTACCATCGAAAGGTGTGCGAACGAGACACCTATATAAATTGGCGCCAACATTTGAAAGATTAAATATATTATGCGGCCATTAAATGTATTTCAATGTACAAATTGTGTGCAAAATATTCTAAGCTAGCGAATTCTATTTACTGCAAGGCAATTCGTCGAAAATGATTGTTGAGCGGACCCTCGTCCGAGTAGCCAGCGATCTCCTGGGGAATAATACCCGATTCCTCAATCGAGGTGCACGGGCGGCACATGCACTCTAGCGGCGCCTTTGTGAGGACTTTCTTAAACTTGCGCTCACCATGCTTGACCTTGGGACAGAACAACGAGACGGCCGCCTCACGCTCGCCCGACTCCTGGCAGCACATACAGGAACGCTCCATTTGCCAGATCTTGCTGCCCGACACCTGACAGGCCAGGAGAGAGTATCAATGGATTGTGATTGAATTGATTGATTGATTGTGATTCGATGCCCACCTGTATATAGCTGGCACAGCGACCCACACAGGCAAACGAGGGTATCGGCTTGGGCACACAGCCCGGATACTGCAGGACATGGATGACGGGCGTTACCTGGCAATCGTCGCCCAGATGTCCGATATCTGCAGATGCAAGCAAAGCGGATCTGAGGGCTATAGATAGAAACATTAGCTAAATCTTTATCATATATTCTTACCGTTATCGTTGGCACCCGCCGCCGCGCCGTCCGCCTGGGCCATGCACAGCTTCAGCAGGCTAACCAGGACGCAGTACAACAGAATCAGCACGAAAATCCTGTTGTTCTCGTGGCGTAGCACATGGCGCAGCATTTTTCTGTTGTCCAAGTATCCCCCAAGTCGCAACGCCTGCAAATGGAAAACGCTGCCAGCCGCCCAACGCTTTTTATAGTTGCCGCTCCAAAGTGGGCTCCGTGGCCGGCGGCCGGCCGCAGCTGTCGCCCTAATGTCCTCTGCCTGGCCACATGACTTATGGCCCAATAAAGGCGTCGCGGCCCGGGACAAACCTTTTTGCCTAGTAATTGCATACATGAAAAGGGCATTTGTCCCGCTGAGCTCGCGCTCCTCGCGCTCATTTATTGCCCCACTCCCAATCACAAATCACAGCTTAAGCAAAAACCCGGCCAGCGTCGACATCATCACCAACGACATCGTCAGTCCAGCAGCTCCATTCCTCTGGGCCAGAAAACTGACCAGCTTGCCCAAGCGCTGCTCTGCCCATTGCACATTCGAGTCCACCGTGGCCAGTGCCTGGCTAAGTGTCTCCGCGGAGCTGCCGAACAGCGTCTGACTCTCCTTGTAGAAGCTCGAGAACAGCTGCTGCTGCTCCCGCGTGGTGAAATAGTCCGCCAAGTCGCTCAGCGCCTGGGCAGTCTTCGGCCAGCTCTCCAAGCTGCAATTGATCAAGTGTTATCTAACTAATTTGGAAGTGCCAGAAACTAAAACTACAAAAGAACTTACGCCTCGGCCAGTTGTTCGATGTCCTCGGTTATCATTTGGAAAATGGGCGTTACCAGGTCGGGATTCTGCTCGTACAGCTGAGCCAGGCCAGCAATCTTCAGGTCCACGCTGTTGCCCTTGCCCAAGATCTCGTTCTGGTAGTGCGTCCGATAATCTCTCGTACAGCTGGCGGCGCGCCAGTATATCTCTCTGTCTATATAGTTAGTTTCCTTTGCATAGTACTCCAATACGCGAGAGTATCCGCCAGATCTGGAGGCTGCACAGTAGAATGTTTCCCGATAGTCTGGAGATGGCTTTTCCGTGCCGCCTTCAAATAACTCCTTTACCTGGTTAGTGCAATTGGGATTCTGGTATTTGCAGAGCCAGGCGACCTGCATGTTGCGATTGTAGACATCCAACACCTTGTCCCCGGAGTTCCAACCGACGCCCAGTTTATCGAGGACCGTAACTGCGATATCGCTTAGATACTTGTTAAAGTTGGGCAGCTGCTGTGGGGTCAGACGCTTTGCTATCCTTTCCATACCCACATATGCCGCATACCAGGGTATATATTCGGTTTCTGTGCTCATGTACTCCATGAACTGGAAGACCTCCACATAATCAATCAATCCAGCGAGGGCAAAGTTGAAGAGATCGTCAATAATCGCTGCTCGATTCTCGACGGGGATTCCACTGTGGTCAGTCTTGGTCAGGGCTACTTGAATCCGGCCAAGCAACGGTTCGTTGTAAAAAACGCGATAGTAGTTGGCTTGTTTTAGATTAACGATAGCCCAGTCAATGGGCTCGTCCGACCAGCGCTGATTTATATCAACTATTTTATCAAAGTAGAAAGCGGGCGTCAGATTTTGGAAATTGGGCGACAGGTTTGTGGCGTAGGTGATGGGCACTGTGTAGCGAAGTGTGGAATCGCTGCCATCGCTGGCATTCAACAGAAAGCGTTGCTGATCCCAAGATATCATGTGGTCATCCAGACTGAGGCTCACTATGATCCGAGGGTAGCCCACCTGCACGGTAAAATCGTATATGAATTGATTCAAATCGACGTACGCGATTTGAGGCCAGTTATCCCTAAGATGGTCATACAAATCTGAGGGCAAGGTGTTACTTAAGTGGCTAAAGAAGAATGAAATCTGAGATTTAAAAGTTTGGTCTAAAGGAATTTGTACTCACTGTTGCTTCAGGTAGTTCCTCATAGCCTTGTCGAAGTTCTCCTCGCCCATTGCAAGGCGCCACATGCGGATTATACTTGCGGCCTTGGCAAATGAGATTCTTCCGAACTTGAAATCGATGTCTGCGGGTGTTACGATGCTCAGCTCTGAGCTGGTCATGGGTTGCGTAAGATTTAAAGAGTCGGTTGTTAGGATATGCTGAAGCTTATGCACAACAAACTGCTGATCCAGCTGGTATTCCGGATATAGCTGCAAGGCAACAATATGAGAAAAGACTATTAGAAACAATGCAATCGGTATCCCCCGACAGCGGAAAAAGGCTCAAAACAGATCGGAAATAACCTTTTCGATTAAGGGACTAGTAACTTCTAAGCTGACTCTAAGGAAGATATTCGTAATCTAGCCATCAAATTGTTGATTATGGCATCGAAACCTTGGGGGAAAAGGAATTTTTCGCTGTGCGAGGACGTGGCTAACACTATATTTGTGTGAGTATTATATATATTATCCAAAGTTTCGTGTTTCTAAATATTTTATGAACAAAAGAAATAATCTATAGTTGATAAGGCACTTCAGATACCACAAATCACTGTTTGCTTGTCTTACCTTGTGCCCCAAGAAGAACTCATAGTAGCGCGCGAATCCCTCATGCAACCAAATGTAACTCCACCATTTGCATGTGACGCTGTTGCCGAGCCACATGTGCGCGTTCTCATGGACTATGTTGCGAATGGTGAACTCCTTCTGCGTCCAGCCATCCGTAACGCCTGGCTCTTCCAAGACGACCTTATCCCTGAAGCATTAATTGAGTTGTATAAGTTTAAGCGGCGTTCGTCATATTAGTCCCTGGATAAACCTACTTGAAAATGACCAGGCCCCAGTTCTCCATGCTGTTGTGGGGAAAACGGGGTGTGGTCGCATACTGCAATAGCTCGTTGCCCAGCTGCTGATAAGATTGCTGGAACAGCTCACCGAATGCGGGAAGCACGCGCTCTGCCACGCTGTAGCTGAACTCCGTGTAGTTGTAGTACGCCGGTCGGGTGAGTATCGACAACGAGCTGTTGCCCCGTGCCTGGTACTCGGAGACCACGAAAGCCAACAGATAGGTGGACATAATGGGGGTAACCTTAAAGTGATCCGTAAAGCGATTATTCCTGCAATTTTAAATTGGCTTAAATGTATTCTCTGAAAGAACTATCCGCTTAAGCATACCCCTCGTCTGTAGTTTTGGTTAATTCCGTGTTACTGACGACGCTCAAACCACTTGGTCGGCCAATGTGCACCTCGAACTTGGCCTTTAGAGCGGGTTCGTCAAAGCAGGGAAAGACCAGGCGTGCGTTGATGGGTTGCATCTGAGTCAATAGCACCCATTTGGTCTTCATCGTAGCCTCGTCTATATAGCTGGCGGAGAAAAGACCCACCGTATCGGACTGAACTTTTCCGGTGTACTTGAAGTACAAAGTGTAGTTGGCATCGGCAGCTAAGGACTGCGCCAGGGGCACTGTCAGCTGCTGTGTCTGCTCCTCAGTAGTCAGCCGAGCGTTGAGTCCACTCTCCACCAGCTGGTCAGCAACATCATAGAGTGAGCACTCTTCTATATTGATGGATATATCCTTGTGCAGCGTGATTTCCTTCACATCTGCCAGCACCGCCTTCAACGTAATAAAGACCTCGCCATCGAACTGCGTACCAGGGTTGTCGGCATCGCCGCGAAGACCTATGGTTAGGTTATAGAAGATAGGCACTACGCTGCCTTCGAGCCGATAGTTGAGGGCACACTCATTGCTCCCGATGCAGGCTAATGAGAGAAGTGCGATTAAGGGCCAACTTCGGATTCGACAACCGTTCATGTTGAAGGCGATTCCAAAACTGATTTTGATTTTGGCCAATTCTATTCATATTGGCTTATGAAAATCTTTCCAACAAAGAGGTAATTTTGTTGAAAGATAAGATTAAAATCTGATCTACGATGAGCATTCGGGCAACTAGTTGATTTTAATAATTAGCAGATAGCTGTTTCCAACTGTGAATCGGTATACCTGGGGGTATATCTGTGAGGTCCCAAGCTACTGATACGAAATATATTTATGAAAATGTATTAGCTTTATAATTATCAGAATTGATAAGCATATACAAAAGATTGGAGCTGTGACGTAGAAATGATTAATTTACCTTCTTAGAAATCATATACACTTTTTTAAAAGATTAGATAAAGTGAATTATGGCTTGTTTTCATGTTTTTGTTTTTTAATCAATAGGGGGGCGTGTTTGAATAGAACCATAAGCTGTTTGGCACGTCTAGTGTAAGGGATATATAAATATTTAATTACGATCTAGCTTGAAATACAGATATAGTTATAGATGAAGATGTATATATACTTATGTACACGTTAAGCTTGACATTGATCTGAATATGCTTAAATATGAATGAAAGTATAAATATTTTTCTCCCATTAATATCTCTACTAGCGGGTATTGCCCGGCCTTGCCCGCGGAACGTTTTGTGCTACAAATTTTAGACACCACCTTCCCATTAGGTACACGCCCGTGGAAAATTGAAATCTACCCGTACCATCTTGATCCCCACTTCTATTCGAAAATATGTTTTAGGTGCATCGAATAAAGAACCAAATTTGTAATCGGAAGTTTCCGCCCTTATTAATCTTGTATTAGGAATTTTGAGGCCGAATAAAACGCTTGCGTTTATAGAGCCGCATTTTCCATCCAAATAGGTTCTGATAAAGATTTTTGAAAATTAGTTTGGAGCCGATAGTAAACCTCTGAAATCTCTGAATCACGTATTCATTAACTTTTTTTATACCCTGAACCCATTAAAAATGGGTATAGGGGTATATTGTATTTGTGCATAATCCAAATGTATGTAGCAGGCAGAAGGAAGCATCTCCAACACCATAAAGTATATATATTCTTGATCAGCCAATAGCCGAGTCGATCTAGCCATGTCCGTCTGTCTGTCCGTCCGTATGTATAAACGCAAGGATCTCAGAACCTATAAGAGCTAGAGACTTAAAATTTGAGATGTAGATGCTCCTAGTCCCGCGCAGATCGAGTTTGTTTCCGATAATCGATAACTTACTCCGTTTCCAAGAAATCGATAAAAATCGATATCGACATCCTGTTTTTTGGGCAATTTTGGTAAATAATAAGAGCTAGACTCACCAAACTTGACATATAGCTTCTAAAATAGAATATATATATGCATTTGATGTTGGAAGAAAAGGGTTCAGGGTATCCCCTAGTCGGGAGCTCCCGACTAGAGCCTCTTACTTGTTTTTATGTAGAGCTGAAAATAAGTTTGACGCAAATCGAGCAAAACTTAAAATTTTGCAAACAAATCTTTGAGCTGCATTTCTACCGACGAAGCTTGGATTCTACGAAAAGCATAAGACACGTCTCTAATGAATACTCTTATAGATCTTTGGAAATAAATTTGAACACGAAACGGCACTCACCAAATCTTTGACCTTCATTTCCACCAAGGAAGAGTGCATTATTCGAAAAGAGTGAAACACCCCTGAAAATTATTTGAGCAACGATCTTTGAGTTTCTTACAAACGTTTTTCGCGATTTTTCCACACTTGCGGGTGGATTTTTCCGCAACCCCTTCTTAACGTGCACCTTCATCACATAAGGTAACTTAGCTCTTACAGTTTAAAAGCAAAATCTACCTATCAAAGTCAGGAGAAGGCATTTTTCGTGCAAGTGAGGAAAACATTCCAATCGCCTTACAGCCGCCTGAAGGGACTTTCCTGTAAGAAGTTGGGCAATGAGGGAAGGTGGGAAAACTTTATGCCCTAGGAGTTCATACATTTTCACTAGTCATTAGGGAAAATTTTAAAGCAAAGCTTTGCTGGGAGAGCTAGCACCAGGAAATGCGAAAAAAAGAAGACTTTACTTCTAGTAATGCCGCAGTATTGGACCAAAGTACTGGCAAGAACTTAAGTTAAATCAATTATGGTCTAAACATCTACGAACCACAGGTATAAAGACACTTGATCATGTTTTTCAAATGATTTCAAATCTTATAAAACTATTTAAGCAACAAATACCAAAGTGTGCACATCATCATTAATAAAGAAGATACCAACGTCAGTCCAGCAGCTCCATTCCTCTGGGCCAGAAAGCTGACCAGCTTGCTCAAGCGCTGCTCTGCCCATTGCACATTCGAGTCCACCGTGGCCAGTGCCTGGCTAAGTGTCTCCGCGGAGCTGCCGAACAGCGTCTGACTCTCCTTGTAGAAGCTCGAGAACAGCTGCTGCTGCTCCCGCGTGGTGAAATAGTCCGCCAAGTCGCTCAGCGCCTGGGCAGTCTTCGGCCAGCTCTCCAAGCTGCAATTGATCAAGTGTTATCTAACTAATTTGGAAGTGCCAGAAACTAAAACTACAAAAGAACTTACGCCTCGGCCAGTTGTTCGATGTCCTCGGTTATCATTTGGAAAATGGGCGTTACCAGGTCGGGATTCTGCTCGTACAGCTGAGCCAGGCCAGCAATCTTCAGGTCCACGCTGTTGCCCTTGCCCAAGATCTCGTTCTGGTAGTGCGTCCGATAATCTCTCGTACAGCTGGCGGCGCGCCAGTATATCTCTCTGTCTATATAGTTAGTTTCCTTTGCATAGTACTCCAATACGCGAGAGTATCCGCCAGATCTGGAGGCTGCACAGTAGAATGTTTCCCGATAGTCTGGAGATGGCTTTTCCGTGCCGCCTTCAAATAACTCCTTTACCTGGTTAGTGCAATTGGGATTCTGGTATTTGCAGAGCCAGGCGACCTGCATGTTGCGATTGTAGACATCCAACACCTTGTCCCCGGAGTTCCAACCGACGCCCAGTTTATCGAGGACCGTAACTGCGATATCGCTTAGATAATTGTTAAAGTTGGGCAGCTGCTGTGGGGTCAAACGCTTTGCTATCCTTTCCATACCCACATATGCCGCATACCAGGGTATATATTCGGTTTCTGTGCTCATGTACTCCATGAACTCGAAGACCTCCACATAATCAATCAATCCAGCGAGGGCAAAGTTGAAGAGATCGTCAATAATCGCTGCTCGATTCTCGACGGGGATTCCACTGTGGTCAGTCTTGGTCAGGGCTACTTGAATCCGGCCAAGCAACGGTTCGTTGTAAAAAACTCGATAGTAGTTGGCTTGTTTTAGATTAACGATAACCCAGTCAATGGGCTCGTCCGACCAGTAGTTGTAATCATTTGATTGTTTTCTTAAGTAAAAAGCGGGCGTCAGATTTTGGAAATTGGGCGCCAGATTTGTGGTGTAGGTGATGGGCACCGTGTAGCGCAGTTTGGGATCGCTGCCATCGCTGGCATTCAACAGAAAGCGTTGCTGATCCCAAGATATCATATGGTCATCCAGACTGAGGCTCACTATGATCCGTGGGTAGCCCACCTGTATGGTGAAGTCGTAATAGGATTGATTTAATACGCTCTCCTGCACAGACCAGTGATCGTTGAGAAGTACATATAAGCCAGTGGGCGACGTACTGCTCAAGTAGCTATTAGAGAAAATTCAAGTAAGATTTATTGGGCTTGATTTAAGGCCACATGCGGATTGCACTTACTAATGCTGGAGGAATTCTTGGATGGCCAAATTGAAGTTCTCCTCGCCCATTGCGATGCGCCACATGCGGATTACACTAGCAGCCTTATCAAATGTAAGTTTATCGAACTTGTAGTCAATATCCGCGGGTGTAAGGATGCTCTCTAGTGGGCTGGTCATAGGCTGTGTGAGATTTTGAGAATCACTAAAAAGGGCATTATGAAGCTTGTGTACAAGAAATTGCTGGTCAAGCTGATATTCCGGGTATAGCTAAAACGAAATTTGCGGTATATTAAAGACAATTTAAAATCTAAGCTTATAGACTCTAAGGCAACCTCCTGTCCCATAAAGAATTCATAATAGCGCGCGAATCCCTCATGCAACCAAATGTAACTCCACCATTTGCATGTGACGCTGTTGCCGAGCCACATGTGCGCGTTCTCATGGACTATGTTGCGAATGGTGAACTCCTTCTGCGTCCAGCCATCCGTAACGCCTGGCTCTTCCAAGACGACCTTATCCCTGAAGGATTAATTGAGTTGTATAAGTTTAAGCGGCGTTCGTCATATTAGTCCCTGGATAAACCTACTTGAAAATGACCAGGCCCCAGTTCTCCATGCTGTTGTGGGGAAAACGGGGTGTGGTCGCATACTGCAATAGCTCGTTGCCCAGCTGCTGATAAGATTGCTGGAACAGCTCACCGAATGCGGGAAGCACGCGCTCTGCCACGCTGTAGCTGAACTCCGTGTAGTTGTAGTACGCCGGTCGGGTGAGTATCGACAACGAGCTGTTGCCCCGTGCCTGGTACTCGGAGACCACGAAAGCCAACAGATAGGTGGACATAATGGGGGTAACCTTAAAGTGATCCGTAAAGCGATTATTCCTGCAATTTTAAATTGGCTTAAATGTATTCTCTGAAAGAACTATCCGCTTAAGCATACCCCTCGTCTGTAGTTTTGGTTAATTCCGTGTTACTGACGACGCTCAAACCACTTGGTCGGCCAATGTGCACCTCGAACTTGGCCTTTAGAGCGGGTTCGTCAAAGCAGGGAAAGACCAGGCGTGCGTTGATGGGTTGCATCTGAGTCAATAGCACCCATTTGGTCTTCATCGTAGCCTCGTCTATATAGCTGGCGGAGAAAAGACCCACCGTATCGGACTGAACTTTTCCGGTGTACTTGAAGTACAAAGTGTAGTTGGCATCGGCAGCTAAGGACTGCGCCAGGGGCACTGTCAGCTGCTGTGTCTGCTCCTCAGTAGTCAGCCGAGCGTTGAGTCCACTCTCCACCAGCTGGTCAGCAACATCATAGAGTGAGCACTCTTCTATATTGATGGATATATCCTTGTGCAGCGTGATTTCCTTCACATCTGCCAGCACCGCCTTCAAAGTAATGAAGACCTCGCCATCGAACTGCGTACCAGGGTTGTCGGCATCGCCGCGAAGACCTATGGTTAGGTTATAGAAGATGGGCACTACACTGCCTTCGAGCCGATAGTTGAGGGCACACTCATTGCTCCCGATCCAGGCTAATGAGAGAAGTGCGATTAAGAGCCAGCTTCGGATACGACAACTGTTCATGTCGAAGGCGGTTCCAAAACTGATTTTTATGTCGGTCAATTCTAATCAGGTTGACTCGTTCCCTTTTCCCCAAAATAGGTGATTTTGTTGAAAGATAAGATTAAATTCTGAGCCACGATGAACAATAGACTAACTGGTTGAATTTGACACGTAGTTGCTAACTGTGAATCGATTTTTACAAGCTTGGGAAGGATTACAAATCGCTTGTCAGTATCAGAAGTGATAAGTATATATGTCGATGTATATATGCTAACGGCTGTTACTTAGAAATAATAATATAAACTTTGTTGGCTGATCAAATTAGGAGAATTGCTGCAATTCATTTTTATCGAGGAGTATGCATTGTATAACAAATTTCAATTTATATGCAGAGAAATAGATACTAAACACTTATATATTTGTCATTATTAAAGACATGAATATGGATAAAGATTAAGAGCGATAAATAAATTGAGCTATTGGCTCGATTAAACAGATTAAAATATATATATATATTCTTTTAATATATAGAAAATAAGACGAGGGTGGCTTTATACATACATCTATTGCTTAACTATAAAATGTCGAATAAGCAGATCTTGTGTGTTTGGTATAGAACATAAAAATGATTTATTTTCGTTCCTATCCAAGCAGGAAATTCAAAAGTGGGCTCATCACTAGCAAGGCTGACACCAAGGTCAGTCCAGCAGCGCTGTTTCTCTGGCCCAAAAAGGCGATCAGGTTGCCCAAGTTTTCCTCTGTCCAATTCACATGCTTGTCCACGCTGGACAGTGCTTCGGTAAGTATTTCCGCCGAGCTGCCAAAAAGATTTTGGTTTTCATCAATGAAAGTGGAGAAGAGCTGCTGCTGCGTCCGCGTGGTAAAGTAGTCCGACATGCTGGCCAGTGCTTCGGCAGTCTTCGGCCAGCTGTCCAAGCTGCAGTTAATAGAGTGGGATTTTATATTTAAATAAATACAAATTATAGTTGAAATCTTTTGAGGATCTTACGCCGTAGCCAACTGTGTGATGTCCTCAGTTACGGTAAGGAAAATAGGTGTTATCATGTCGGGATTCTGCTCATACAGTTGAGCCAAGCCAACCATCTTTAGAGACACGCTGTTGGCGTTACCTAAGATCTCCTTTTGGTAGTGCGTTCGATAATCTCTTGTACAACTGGCGGCGCGCCAAAGGAGTTCTCGTTCGGTGGGATGGGTTTCGTTCGCATAGTATTCCAAGATGCGTGCGTATCCGCCCGATCTGGAGGCTGCACAGTAGAATGTCTCCCGATAGTCTGGCGAAAGCTGTTCGGAGCTGCTTTCAAACTTTTCGCGAACCTTGTTGTTGCAATTCTTGTCCTGATACCTGCAGAGCCAGGCCACCTGCTTGTTGCGATTGTAGACATCCAACACCGTGTCGTTAGCCCTTAAACTGACACCGAGGCTTTTCAGTACCGAAGCTGTGATATCGCCAAGATATTTTCCGAAATTAGACAGATTCTCTGGGGGTAAGCGCTTGACCACGCGTGCCAAGCCCTCGTAGGCCGCATACCAGGGCACATAATCGACTTCTCCACTCATATACTCCAGAAACTTGAAAACGTCCGCGAAATCAAGCATTCCAATGTAGGCAAAGTTGAAGAGATCATTAATGATTGCCGCACGATTCTCGACTGCGATCTCACTGTGGTTGGTCTTCGTCAGAGCCACTTGGATGCGATTTAATAGCGATGGCTCATAGTATACGCGATAATAGTTAGATTGTTTTAGATTGAACACAATCCAGTCAATGGGCTCAGGCAAACTCAACTGCACGAAATCCACAGACTTATCGAAGTACATGTAGGGTGTCAGATTATGGAAATTGGGCGACAAGTTCGTGGCAAAGGTGATGGGCACCGTGTAGCGTAAATTAGCATCGCTGCCATCACCTGGATTTAGCAGGAAACGACGTTGTCGCAAGGTGATCATGCGCTCCTCCCAGCTAATGTTCACCATGATCGTTGGAAAGCCCACCTGCTCGGTGAAGTCATAAAAAAACTGATCTAAGCTTATATTGACAGCTGGCCAGCTCGTCTTGAGATGTGTAAACAAATCTGTGGGTTCTGTGTTACCCAAGTGACTAACCGAGAGAAGACATATGAGATTTACGGGCTTAGACATAAAGAATGTGCACTCACTGCTGCTCGAGGTATGCACGGATGGCCGTATCAAAGTTGGCACCACCCATAGCATTGCGCCACATGCGAACTATGCTGGCGCCCTTGGCGTAGGTAATGCTGCTGAATTTGTAGCCGATTTGGGAAGGTGTTTGTATGCTCGCCTCTGGGCTGGTCAGCGGCTGGGTGCTGGCCCTGGCATCGGTTGCAAAGATCAGCTGAAGCTGGCGCACAACAAACTGCTCGTCTAGTTGATACTCTGGGTGCAGCTGTTAAGAAAAGAGATCTGCTTGGCATATATCTGAACTGATATTTCTTCTATATATATATGCTTACCTGATGCGCCATGAAGTACTCGTAATAGCGTGCAAATGCCTCGTTCAGCCAAAAGTAACTCCACCAGGAGAAGGTTACGCTGTTGCCGAACCACATGTGCGATGTCTCGTGTGCCAGAATCCGTATGGTATGCTCCTTGTCATTCCAGCCGTCTGTGTAGTAAGGCTCATGCTCCAGCACGGCATCTCTGAAAAGTAAAGCCAGAAAAAATGGTTAAATACACCTGTAGACCGATGGCTAAAAGATCGTGCTTTATTTTGAACCTAGTGATCCTATAGTTTCCATATAAAATAGTCTTATACAGCTTTGCAGATATGTGGGGAGAATAGTGAAGCTCTTAATAGCCGAAAAGCAAAAAGTTTTCCATGATATTAGATAATGTAACAGATTATAGATGGCTTGTCTTTATCTAAAAGATTTGAGATTTAGGTAAACTTTTTTTTTTAAATATAAACTACTCATGAGTAAATTTGATGCTGTGGTTTCTTCTAGTTGGACACTCTCGTCTATGGCAAACTTACTTGTAAATAATGAGACCCCAATTCTCCATGCCATTGTGTGGAAAGCGCGGCGTGGTCGCATGCAACAGGACTTGGTTGCCCAAATCCTTATAGGAGTGCTGAAACAGATCGCCGTAGGCATCCAGCACGCTTTTGGCCACATTGTAACTGAATTCGGTTTTGTTATAGTCTTCTGGCCGAGTTATCACTGCAATCTCGCTGATATTGCCACGTGCCCGATACTCGGAGACCATGAATGCCAATAGGTAAGTGGACATTGGGGGCGTCACGTCAAAGTGATCCGTAAAGCGATTGTTGCTGCAATTCGAAATTAATCAAGTATAAGCAGGCTTGGGCGTTATCTTCAATTTTTTAACTTACCCCTCGTCAATTGTTTCGATTAGCTTCGTATTGCTGGTGGCATTCACGCCGCCTGCCCGGCCAATGTGCACCTGGAACCTGGCCTTGAAGGCGGGCTCGTCAAAGCAGGGAAAGACCAGGCGTGCATTGATGCGCTGCAACTGCGTTAGGAGCATCCACTTGGTCTTGCCCGTCTGCTGTTCCACATAGCTGGCGGAATACAGGCCCGTCATGCCGCTTTGTACTTGGCCAACGTACTTGAAGTGCAGCGTGTAGTTCCTGTTGAGGGCTAATGTCTGCGCCAGATGCACGGTCAGCTGCTGTGTCGGCTGGTCATAGGTAAGCGAGCTCTGCGTAATATCCTTCAACAGATCACCAGCATCATTATAGAGCCAGGCACCATCGGCTATTTCAATGTCATCCTTGTGCAGCGTGATTTGCTGCACATCCGTCTGCACCGCGTGCAGCGTTATTTTCACCTCGCCATCGAATGTTGTGCCTGGATTATTAGCATCGCCCCTCAGACTTATGGTCAGGTTGTAGAATGTTGGTAATACGTTGCCTTCCAGCCGATAGTTGTCAGCGCAACTAACGCCGGCAAATAGGCCAATCAATGATAGAAGGCCGACGAGCAGCCAGTTGCCCGGTCCAAAACTGTTCATGCCGAGAGCAGGTACAATACTGAGCAGATACTCATGCTAAAACAAAAATGCTAAACAATCAGCCGAGCACAGATGATGTCGCTTTTTTGTTGATTAGATAACACGGACAATGGGTGTCGATGCGATGATTAGCCACACCCCGCACAGTAAAGTGGTTCTTGTAGTTATTTGGGTTGTACTTGTCGCAAAACAGTGTAAGACATATGCTACTCTTAACCCTAGGCCTACCTATTTGTTGACAAAAGGCTATTTACATGTAAGCAATAAATAACAAATTTCCATATATATATCAAGCCTTAACTGTTTGTATTTGACATATGTACATTCCTTAACCGACCTGAGCACGGTTTGCTTTTGCAAGGTTTGGCAACCAGTTTTGAGATTTTACTCTTTTCTTTTTGTATGGAATATTTTAGCATAATTGCGCAATTTACTGAGTGTAAAACCTAAACACATCTAAATTGACGTACATTGTTTATGTACATAAAAATAGATAAGCATATAAGTATATAAACCTATTCATATAACCTTATCAAAACGTTCTCTCGATGATGCTGATAATCTCAAGAAAGTCCCCCTAACTGTACTCATATGTCTTATCGCTGTTAATAAAAATATAAATTTGTATAAAAATGTTTGTTTAGCTAACTGAATGGTTCGATTATTATTATTATTAGTTTTATAGGGTATATTGGTAAAGGGTATAATGGTTTTGTGCAAATGTATGGAGCAGGCAGAAGGAAGAATCTGCAAACCCATAAGGGGTCGATCTAGTCATGTCCGTCCGTATGTGTATGTTTATGAGACTATAAGAGTTATAGACTTGAAATCATGGATATCATACCTTTTTTTCCATGAAATCGATAGGAACCGATATCGAAATTCTATTTTTCAAGCGTATCTAATAGCTTATATACAACTTTTGGGATGATATTCTGGATCCGGAAAAACGAACTTTTTTATATACTCCCCTGTTCCCCCAAATATATTCTTAATGTTGACATTAGACTAAGATAAACATCGTTTCTTCTAAACTTATGATCAAAACTTATAGTTATAATATAATGAAGAAGTTAAAAGCCAATAAAAGTAGCTCTTACGTGTAGAGCAAAAATAATATTCAGCCCAATTTGCAGAGTACGATCAATGTAAAATTGAGAACTATAAAACATAAGTCCCCTACCATATAGATTAGATAGAATTGTAAAATTTTTTATTATAAGTTTTAGCCGATAAATGTAGTTTTAGTCAAAGCCATCTTATCTGGCTTCTTTATTGCCTCTTGAACAGGCGGTAATTGTACAAATACTTTTTGTTGGACGAATACCCCAAATGCAGTTGGTAATTGGCTAATCTTGGCCTTAACGCAGCAACGTGACCAGGGCCACCAGCAGCAGGGTGAGCAGGCTGAAGCCGCTTAACATGGCGCTGCCGTTGCGTTGGGCCAAATATGTGCGGAATGTGCCCAGCTTGGATGTGGCCCACTCCAGATTCTCCTTCACGGTCGTCTCGGCTGCTGTCAATGTGGCCGCCGAGCTACCAAACTTGCCGCTGTTCGCGCTATTGAAATTTTGCAGCTCCTCGTATTGCGACTGCTCCGTGAAGCGTGCGGCAATGTTTGAGATGACTGTGGCCACCGAGGAGTAGCCACCCATGCTAAGTGGGGCAAAGCAGAAAAAAGAAAGAAATTTAGATATGCTAACTAGGCTGATAAATCAGCTAGTTACTTACGCAACGGCCAGCTCCTCGAATCGTCTGGTGACCAGCTCGAAGACGGGGCCAACATTCTCGTTGTTCTCAGTGTACAAGGTGCTCAGCACTGAGGATTTGTCCTGTCGTCGAATTTCATCGGACACCGTCAGATTGAAAACACGTTCGACGAGCGTGTATTGTTTCACACAACCGAATGAGTTCTGCAGCAGTGTTTCCTCTGTGGCCACCTTCTCGGTCTTGAATTTCTCATACAAAGTTTCAAACTCAGCGCTGCCGCCTTCGCGCAGCGCCACACAGTAGACCACGGAGCGTATGTTCTTGGGCACAGTGGACAGCGATTTGAAGTGGCTCTGTGCCTTGCTAATACAGTCGGCATTGCCAAAGCGACAGCTCCAGGACAGCACCTTGGTGCGCAAATAGATATCGAGTGCGTCGTCATTAGAGGTCTCATCAAAGCCCAGCTGGTTATAGGCCTTGGTGGTCAGCTGCCGAATGTAGTTGCCGAAATGGGCGGTGTCTGTGCCCAGTCGTATGGCCAAGTAGTTAAAACCATTAAACGCCGCTGTCCAGGGTATATAATTGGTTTCCGTTTCCAGATACTCCAGCACCTGCAGTGTCAGATCGTAATGGATATGTCCGGCGCGGGCCAAATTGAGCAAATCGTCAACCACCTGGGCGCGATTCACCTCATGTATATCGCTCCAGTTGGTGCTGGCGAGCGCGGCATGAATTGCATGCCAATTGCTCTCAGTGTAATTGACGCGATAGTAGCCTGTCTCCTGAATGTTGGCCAGCACCCATGTGACTGCATTGGTTAAAGTAACTGTCTGTGGCGTGGTCGATGCCAGCACAAGCTTAGGCTTGGTATCCGCGAAATTCTTCTCCAGGCTGGTGGTGTAGCTAATGGGCACGGTGTATGTCAGGCTAGCATCTGCGCCATCGTTTTCCTTAAGCAGGAAACGCTTTTGACTGAACTCAACACTCTTGCCATCACTGCTCAGCTTGGCATTGATCAGCGGATAGCCCACCTGGGTGGTAAAGTTGTAAAAGATGTGCTCCGAGCTGCTGTTGAATCGATCAGTGGGCCAATTGGCCTGCCAGGCGCCCAGCAAATACTCCGGCACCGATGACTGATATTGGCTGCGGAAGGCAAAAACTATAAATATCTGTGGCCAAAACAAGCAAGAGTGCTCTACTTGGGAGTGCCCGACTAGCCGGACTACCCTGTACCACATCGCGCTACCATTAAAAGCATTCCCATCTTAATAAAATTTATACTGCATTAACATTTCACACAAATGTGATTAAAAACCAAAGTGGCTTTAGCTTTAAAAATGTGTTTTTTCTTTTGGTAGGGATAGGAAAGGATGCATAAAAAAAAGTGCATCACTTTAGATCTATGTATAATTAATGAGAACCTACACACCTTGGTGTATCTAGCCCTTAGCATTTGGTAGTAAATCTTGAAAAATATTATGAAAATGGGGCTAAATGTTATACTCATTTTGCCTATCGTGAAAAAGTATATTGTTTTAAAATTTCAATTCTCTAGCTCTTGTAGTTTGATAGAACGTTAGCGATAGAACTCAGGCGGACAAGGTTAGACTAAGAAGCTTGCCGTCCTGATTAAGATACAAGGTGAGTTGATATATACTTCCTTTTGTCTATTACACACATTTCCACAAAAATGTTACACCCCCTCTACCAATTTTAAAAGTGTACATGGTATAACAGCTATAAAATCTACTTACTATTTGACCAGATATTCCTGCAGCGATTTTCGGAAGTTCTCAGTGCCCATGGTGTGCTCAATCATGCGTATAAAGGTGGCACCCTTGTTATAGGATATGCTATTGAACATGCGGCTCAGATGAGCTGGCGTATAGGTATCCAAATCGCTTAGGGGATTTGTGGCATTGGTGGAGTCCATGGCCATAACCGATTGTACTTGATCGACCACAAACTGTTTCTCCAGTTCCCATTCGGTTTCGACAAAGGCGGTACCAAAGTATTGGAAGTAACGGGCAAAGCCCTCATTCAGCCAGGTGTAGCTCCACCATTTGCAGGTGACCAGATCACCGAACCACATATGCGCCTGTTCGTGGGCGACAACTGCAGCAATTGATTGGCGGGATGAAAGCGTCGTGGCGGACTCATCCACCAGCAGGCTGCGCTCTCTGTAGGTGAGCAGACCCCAGTTCTCCATGGCGCCTGCTGAGAAATCGGGTATGGCAGCCATATCCATTTTATCATTGCCCAGCGTATAGTAGTTCAAGTTCAAGTATTTGCCCATCTCCTCCAGGATCAGGCGACCCACATTGAAGCTGTATTGCGTCTGCGCATAGAACTCGGGACGTGCCAGGACACCAAACTGGTCATCCTTGCGTACGGTGAACTCGGAGATGATAAAGGCCAGCAGATATGTTGACATTTTGGGCGTGGTATTATACACATCCAAATAGTATTCGCTAGTATGGGAATATAGTTAGTAGATCATCTTAGCGGTTCACCCATAACTTACCCATTGTCGGTGGGTGTGCTGGACAGTTGTCTGGTGTTACTAACCGAGCTGAGGGTACGATGACGTTTCAGGGTCACATCGAAGGTGGCCTTGAACTGCGGCTCATCGAAGCTGGGAAAAGCGCGACGTGCATGATTTGTCTGGAACTGTGTGGAGCCCAGCCATCTGTCAAATGAAAAGTAAAACAAGCCACATTAGCTCCTCCTAGCTTAGCAACAGACAGAATCAAACCCACTTGGTCTCATTGTTGTCATTCACATAGTAGCTGCGATAGAAACCATGCATATCATCCTGCATCAGACCCGTGTAGACGAAATGCAGTATATAACGTTGACTGGCCTCCAGATCCACTGTTACAGTCAGATTTCTTACATCCGTTTCATCGCTCTGTGACACTAAGGTCAGCGCTGTGCGAGTAACTGTGGCGCCCTCTGTCGCCGGCTTGGTCCAGTATTCGCTGAGCGAATAGGTCAAATTTTTCGAGTGCAGCACCACATACTTAGTTTTTACCACTGGCTCAATTTCAATCCAAACCTCACCGTCAAAGGTAAAACGCTTGTCGCCATCGCTTTCCAGCAAATATGGACGCAACGATATGTTATAATTAATGGGATTAATGTCCTCCGGCAGTCTGTACTCAGAGTTTTCGGCAGCATATGTGGTCGGTGGCTGCAGCTCCAATTGCTGGCGAGGTGCCGCGAGCACAGCGCACAGGCAGGCAGCCAAAAAGACAGCCAAGCGCAGGGCAAACATATCAACTGTAAGAATTGGGATTTTCCATCGATTAGCGGTTCCCATAAGTAGTAGTCCAACTATTTCACCACACGTTATGCAATTGCTAGGCACTTACTTTCGATTCTTCTTGTCACGACTAGAATATTATTCGCACGGCCTACGGCACGCGATTCGAAAACTTAACTAAAGTCAGCTGCCAATCGGCGGTACTATATATGTAGCCTTTAAATGGCTATAACAGCGACTTATCTCTAACCTTAAAACATTTTATTTTACTCAAGATAAGTGCGCATTGCTTATAGATTATATGACGATTACGATGAGGCTCCGATAAGAGAGTCAGGCGGTGATTTACGCTCTCTGTGTGCATTTGCCAATCAAAAACTTAAGCATGGCCGACAGTTATATATTGATAGATTTAATGCTGGACTTTAATCCAGTTGCCATAACGGATATGACTCAGAGCACATAGAGCTAAGAATTGGGGAAAAACTGTTTAATCAAACAATCTTTGTATACCTCGGACCTATTAAATTGAAAAGTAATAACTGTGAGAGGAGCTGGTGAAATGGTATGTTCGTAATGAAGACATGTCTGATGCTATGTATTCACTACTAGATTAATGATATACTGTTCCAGTCCAGTTTTGAAGAAATAGAGATAGCAAGCTTTATCTCTTATTGATATTAAAAGATTTGGATTAGGGTGGTATTAAAAAATCTTAATGTACGTGTGATATAGAAGAATATATATAATCAATCTTGATTTCCCAGGGCAAGCTTCTATAAATAATAGCTGTCAAAGATGGACAAACAATGCTCGATTTAGTTAAATGGTTACAACGATCAGAACATTAAAAAAACTATATAAAATATATATTTTTTTAAATATGTATATACTTGATTCCCTTTTAAGTCCAATTTACGACAACAAGGTACATAAATAATCTTTGCAAAGATAATGCTTTTATTAGCACATATTTTACCTTTCATCCTGGTGTGCTAGAAATATCATTGTTATCAGATAGCAGGCACTTCAACTTAATCTTCGATCAAGTATGCCATGTATATGTTATTATTAATTAACTATATATTTAAAAGCATTTTATATCATACACATATAATATTCGGGTTTTAATTATCACAAAATTAAAACTATATTCATACTTTAGGAATCCGAAATGAGTCACTTTGCAACTTATTTGCCCTAAAGTGCGTTCATACATGTTTACATCTTTCTCTGTAATTGATAGTGGCTTGAAATAAAACGAACGAATCTTTATCTAATCGCTCCAATCATAAATTGAAAATATAAGAGGCATTACATGCAATTTTGTCTAATAAAATAGTATTAAGAATTGTAGTTTTTATTGCCAATAAAATAATGGTGATATGGAGTTTATTTCTAATCTACCGCCTGCGTCTAGACCACTCGGGAAGAAGTGCTGCTTACTATGGAAATTTTTTCAAATTCGAATTGCATGCATTTGACGAAATAATGTTGTACATAAATCTTAATGGAATTCGAGTTATAAATAGGATTTTTGATGTCATTCAATAGCGACAACCTAAATTCAATGTTAGCAGCTGATCAAAAATAGAAAATGGCGCTTGTCATGAACGGACTAGCCAATCGCCGATTGTTCGTTATCGTTATCGATGATTTACACTTAACAGTTATTGTTGCCATGCGATCGTATTGCTCGTATCGAGCTATTTATGATGAACATAAACGTAAAATTTCTAAATTGAATAGTAAAAAAAAATGTTCCTGCCCGAAAGCTTCATAAATACTATAATATTTTTGCTTAAGAGTAGATAATAGTTTCTTATCGGGCTACATAGAGCTATAACATTCACAATAAACTGAGCGACAAAATCTTAAAGTATTTGGCAATGACGTGACCATTTTTTTTTTTTATTAGCAAACGGAAATGTAAAGAATTTGTATATATACATAGCTGCGAACGAGGAAGACCTTAAGCTAACTTAGTAGCTCCTAACATAATACCTAGAACAATTTGGCGGCTAAAAGGCACAGGGCTAGGGCCAGCACAGATGCGGTCTTAGCGGGACTGCCGTTGCGGAAGCCAGTTACCCAGGAAATGATGGGCTCCCGATTGACTGACAGCCACTCCATGTTGGCCGCTATGGTGGTATCCACGTTGGCTTGCAATGTGTCGGGCACAAATTCAGAGCCTTTGACCGTATCGATCAGTAGCTGCAGCTTTTGCTTTTGACTCTCGGTAACCACATAGGCAGCCATGCTCTCAATGTCAGCGGCAAGTGGATTATTACCACCAAAGCCAGGATTCAGATTGCCATACTCCTGCCAATGCTCGAGAAGGAAATCAATGCAGACGAGCAGACCCACTTCACCACGGGAATAGGTGGGACTGAGCAACGTGTAGCGCTCCTGGGTGCGCAGCTTGTTGGTCTGATCAATGCTGCTGGAGACATACTTCATCAGCTGATCCTCGTTTTGGGAACAGCCCAGGGCTGAGATGAGCAGACGACGCTCGGCCTGATCGTTGGAGTCCATCAATTTGTCATAGACAAAGTTAAATGTCGTATTGTCGGCCTGCTTGAGGCCATTGCAGTAGACGGGCGTCTGCAGATTCGGTTCAATCGGAGTGCCCTGATTGACCAAAGCCTGTAGCTTGACGTTCGTCTCGTCCAGACAGCTCTTCAGACCCGCCAAACAGGCCAGATTAATGACCACGTTGCGGGTGAATTTGACCAAATGCTGCTCCCCATCGATGTCATTCACGCCAAATTTGTCGAATTGATCGCTGACCAATGCGGCGACATAGAACTGGAAATGTTCGTAGGACTCATCGCTGCTCAGATACCGATTGAACAGGGTAATCGCGGTATTGGCCGCCGACCAGGGTGCATATTGATTCTCTTGCGGCAGGTAGGTGAGCAGCTGCAACAGCAGAGCATGTGACAAGCGATTGCTCGTAGCGAAACGATATGCATCGCTGATCAGTTGGGCACGATTACGAGGGTGAATCTTATGCGAGCGATTGGCCAAACCCTCAATAATCAGCTGCCAGTTGCGCTCATCGTAATTGATGCGATAGTAACCTGTCGACTGTTTGTTCAGGATCAACCAATCATCGCTGGTCAGCTTAGCGTCGGCAACGCTCTTCTCCTTCTCATTGAGCAGATAATGTGTGGCCTCAGTATTGCGGAAATCAGGGTTCGATGCAACCGCATAGTTTACAGGCACATACCAGAGCTTTTCGCTCGTATATGTCTTATCGTTGGTATACTGCTCCTGCTTGATAGTGAAGGAGCCATCGTTATAGTTGCGCTCCACAGTGATCAGTGGGACACCACCCTGTCGCGTCCAGCTGGAGAGCATGTCTCCGACGAGAGCCGGCACAACATAGTTCAGTTCGCGGGCGGCCAGCGAAATGGCATCAAACAGATCTGTCTCGTTGGCAGCGGAGTAGGCCCTAGAAGATACACATTTTCATGATTTTTCAGTTGCAACCTACAGAAATCCACTTACTTGGTCACCAGATAGTTGTGCAGACCTTGCTGGAACACGGTGTTGGTCAGCGCATGTCGCCACATGTCTAGCACGGAGCCGGCCTTGGCATAAGCAATGGAGTCATAGAGCTGGGAAATTTCCGATGGCCTCTCCACAAAATACGTCATGGGTCGCACATTGGGGTTGGCATCAGCAATGAGAGCGCTCTGATAAGAGCCAGCATGGAAGGTTTGGAATATATCCCACTCTGGATAGGCCTTAGACAGAAAATCAATTGATGTTAGGCATACGTTAATCTTCAACTAGCCACTAGGTCACTTACCAAATCAACGGCTAGGTTCTCGAATAGCGTGGCAAAGCCCTCTTTGAGCCACAGATAGCTCCACCATTCGATGGCAACCAGGTCACCAAACCACATATGTGTATCCTCATGCGCCTCGATTGTGGCAATGTTCGTCTGCGTATTAATAGTAGAGTTTTCGACATTGTACAGCAAATACTCCTCACGATAGGTGGCCAGACCCCAGTTCTCCATGGCACCAGCTGCAAAGTCGGGTATAGCCGCCTGATCCAGCTTAGGTAGAGCAAAAGGCACACCGAAATAGCCGGAAAGTCGCTTCTCGACCAGCATGCCTGTAGTCAGTGCCCATTCCTGCTCATGCTCGGTGCCCTTGCGCGAGAAGACGCGCTGGGGCAACCCATTCAGCTCGCCCTCCGAGTACACAAACTCCGACACAATGAAGGCCACCAGATAGGACGGCATCCTGACAGAGGTCTTGAAAGCAGTTATACCGGAGCTAAGAAAATTAAAAAGGAATTGAATAAGAATCCAGTTGAAATTCCATAGAGATTCCTTAGGAATTTCATTGAAATTTCGTAGGAGTTTCGTAAAAACTCTATAGAAATTTAATGGAAATACCACAGGTGAGGCTTTCACATTTTGGCTGGTGTAACAAACCTGGTCTTAGAGTCATCCACTGGCATATTGCTGATGGCATTGTAACTGGGATCGTGATGGATGGTAATCGTAAAGTTGGCCCGCTTGGCTGGCTCATCATAGCATGGGAAGGCGTGACGTGCATCGGTGCTCTCGAACTGTGTGGTGGCCAAGTATTTGGTAGCACCATTCTCATCCGTATACGTGGACAAGTAGAAGCCCCCATTGTCCGTTCGCAAATTACCCTCGTACTTGATAGTCAACAGCCAGCTGGTGCCTTCCTCAAAGGTAAGATCGTTGGCGGACAGCTTTAGGAACTCACGATCTGTATCGTGTGTGATTTCCAGTGCAGTGTCAGTTGTCTCTCCATCCTTGCGTATGGTCGCCGTAAAGTTCTCCAGCTGTCGCGCATGCACTACAATAACTGTGCTGGTCTCCAAAACTTTTAAGCTTATGGCAACCGTGCCGCTAAAGCCTGTGTCGCCTGTGTGCACATTCGTGTGCAGCTCGACGGTATATTCCACAGGTTCCGTGTTGTTGGGCAACCGATAGGTGTCATCGTCGGCACGTGGTGCTAAGCGCGAATTGGGATTCTCTAGTTGCTGCAGCTGCTCAAAAGGGGGAAAGTTCCGTACAACGGCCGCATGGGCGGTGGTGGCCACCACCAGCAGCAGGGCCAAGATCGTGACAAGAACGCGAGCCATGTTGTCAACGGTGCGACGACAACTGGACAACAACTGGGTAGCGCTTGGTTGCTTTCCACTTTTAAGCCAAATTGTCGGCCCAACCGAGACAATTTTTCGCTCGTACATATGAACTAGTGGAGCTCGTCTTATCGCCTAGCCAGGCATAAAGATTATTTTAATCATTCAGGGCCGCCCCTAAGCCTTGCCACCGCCCAATTCAATTGGTTGGCCAACAAATGCCGTAAATCAAAGAAACGATCTTTGAATTGGCTGTGTTAAGTGGAACGCGTGCGCCTTGGCTATAACAATTGAACTCCTTGAATGCGGTTGTCAGGTGTGGATGAGAGGTTAGATAAGAAATCAAGTGGACGCCAATTCAAGATACTAATGTCATTTGATGATAAGTAGTTATATTACCTATTAAGATAATGTATCTCCAATTAAAAACTATAATAAAAATTCTAGTGAAGAAACCTAAATTTACCGACTATTTGTATTTAATTTATCAGTTGAAAACAGTTAAGCTTATGATATATAATTAGGAAAATATCGAAGATCGGTCAGTCACGTGAGAATCAAAGGGCATTTACGAAAATACAAAGGTGTTCGACTAGAAGATACCCTACACATAGTTTAAAGTGGCCGAGTAGCATTACCACTTCCTTCATTTGCAAATATGGTTTTTAAATATTTGAGAAACCAAAAATCAAGCTATTCCCAAAAAAACAAAAAAAAAAAAACAAGTAAGAGGTTCTAGTCGGGAGCTCCCGAGCCCTCTTCTTTATAAAAATTGCCCAAAAAACCGGATTTTGATATAGATGCTTATCGATTACTTGGAAACAGGGCAACCTATCGAATATCGGAAACAAACTCGATCTGCTACACCTACATCTCAAATTTCAGGTCTCTAGCTCTTATATGCTCTGAGATCCTTGCGTTCATACATACGGACAGACAGATAGACGGACATGGCTAGATCGACTCTGATATTGATGCTGATCAAGAATATATATACCTTCTGGGGTCGGAACTGTCTCCTTCTATGCGTTACACATTTCACGACAAAATTATAATACCCTCTACAAGGGTATAAGAACACATACACATCACAATTGCATCACAATAATGTTGATAAAATTTAATAAAGAAGCAGCGTGAATGTGTGTGTGCTGAAAAATCTTGCAATTTGCGCTGGATGCCGCAAACAGGTGTCCAGCTTAAGCACGTGTTGTTTAGTAACTTCTGTGTTTCTTAACTAACTTGATGAAATTTTCAACAGTAGATCTTATTGTACTATAGAATATTCGTATAGTCTCAAAAAGACAATTGCATTAGAATTCGAACTTTAATTGGTGGGCAATACAATTTGGTTTATTTACTTGATTTATAGCTATGTGATTTTAGCGGGGTGGTAGCAATAGCTATGTAATGAAATATACTATATATATTTACACTATTCTATTCTAAAAACTTAAAGATTTGATAAAAAAACAGGATTTAGATATCGACTTTGATCGATTATTTAAAAAGGAGCAAGTTATCGATGATCGGAATCAAACTCGTACTGCGAAGGCATTAGGAAAACCAAGTTTCAAGTCTCTAGCTTATATAGGCTCTAAGATCGTTGCGTTCAGACGGACAGACAGAGAGGCAGAAGGACATGGCTAGATCGACTAGGATATGGATGCTGATTTTAAAGAATATGAAAACTATCGAAAGCTAAACAGAATATTAACTGGTTATCGTAGATCAGGTTATCGAAAGGCATTGCCTTTTGTTAAAACTTAGAAAATTCAACATAAAGATCGATTTTAATGCAGAGTATCACAGTCCTAAATTATCTGCTTTGTAATGTCTCAATTGTCGATTTTATTCAGATTTGCAGATGAACACGATTAGATCGGATTCTAGATTCTTGAATACATACAAATGTTGGACGATATTCAACCCTAATGACTCATGTTTTTTTTTTTTCCAAAACAGAATAAAATTATGACTCTGCCCTTGACAAACAGCCACTCGAAGCATTCAAGGCTTGTGTGGTTCATAAAGTTCGAATATTATCGGAATTATGGCCGAATCATGATGTGTACATTTGGTAATGAAAATGTTATATAGGTTTTAGTCGCAACTATCACGGCTATATTAGTGCTGTGTAAAAGGCGATAAGATTGATCAAACTGAAGTGGGGGCAATAAAACCAAATTCCAGTTAATCAAACTATAGCAATTGTTTTTAAAGGTACTGCTACAAAAAAATTAAAAAATTTCACCACATTTAAAATACAAAAGCTGCGAAATATGTGTATATACTATGAATGTATTTACAAGAATAACGGAGGGGGAATTCCTTAGATTTGTTATCGATTTATTTTCTAGAATTCTGAATTCAATTGAATCTGCACAAAAGCAGAGTTACGAACATTGCCAGTATGGCGAAAGTCGAGGCAGAGAGGGAGCTGCTGCCGTTGGTGCGATAGGCAACTAGCCAGTTTATGACCGGATCACGATGCACATCCAACCAATCGAAGTTGGTCTTCATGTTGGCCTGTACAGCGGTCTCTGTGTTATCTGCGAGATACTCAGCTCCGTTGGTCCTGACTGTGTCCACCAGCGCATTAAGCTGTAATGAAAAGTTCATGAAAATTGGGCACTATTTTTAATAGAATTTTCAGCTTACGCGATTCTTTTGCGACTCGCTAACCACCGAGCTGGCAATGCCACGCAACGCTGAGTCCAGTGGCTTTTGAGTGCCTGTGCCCAGGTCACCGTAAGCCTTCCAATTCGCTTCCAAGAAGTCCAAGCTAGCCGTCAGACCCGCCTCGCTCCTGGTGTAGGCAGCACTCAATACGGAGGTGCGCTCCGAATAGCTTAGATTGTTTGTATCGTCGATGGAGTACGCTACAAATCTCTTCAGCTGGTCGGCATTCTGCGCGCAGCCTAGCGAAGAGATATATGTGCTGCGATCGGTGGCATCATTGGAGTTCAGCAGATTGGTAACAACTAAATTAAAGGTTGTATCCTCGGCCTCGCGCAGCCCGGCGCAATAGGCCTGTGTCCTCAGTGTGGGCTCGATGGGAGCTCCATTATTCAGAGAATCCTGCAGTTTTTCATGCGACTGTTGATAGCACTTGGGACTGCCTACCTGGCACGCCAGACTGACTAGGGTCACGCGCAGATAGTTGTTTAGATAGTGTTCACCAGGAATCTCGTTGACGCCCAGCTTATTGAAGATATTCTCGACCAGTTCGATTACGAACTCGCGGAAATGCACGTAATTCACATCACCGCGTAGATATGTGTCGTAAATAGTTAATATGCTATTGGCTGTGGACCAGGGCGCATACTGATCCTCATTTCTCAAATATGCCATCAGCTGAAACAGTGTGGCCTGGCTAAGGCGACCCGTATCCACGAAGCGATACGCATCGTGCATCAGCTGAGCCCGATTGCGCGTATGGAAGGCGTAGGGCTGCTCTAGTAGACCCTGCGAAATTAGCCGATAGTTCTCCTCATCGTACAATATACGATAAAAGCCAGTGGATTGTTTATTTAGAATCAACCAGTCATCCTTCGATATTTGTACATCGCTCACTGTCAGCTCCTTTACTTTGAGCAAATAGTGGGAGGCGGTGGTGTTGCGATAATCGGGATTGGAGGCGGAAGCACAGTTGATGGGCACATGCCAGGTGGCTTCATTTGCAGCATCCTTGTCATTGAGATAACGTTGCTGTTTAATGGTAAAGGTGCCAGTCTCATAGTTACGCTCCACGGTTAGCAAGGGAAAACCAGCCTGTGTGGACCAGCTGGAGAATATGTCAGGAACCCCAGCGGGTAATTTGAGGCCAAGCTCATCGGCTGCCTCCTGCAGTGAGGCGAACAAATTCCACTCGTCTGTGGAGTTGTATTGACTGGGGGAAACAAATATTTTATAAATATAAATAAATTCTAACAAACATATACATCTTTACAAATAGAGCTTTTTCAAAATTAGTTTGAAAGTTGGAGGGGAGACAAAAAAATTAACGTTCCCTAATACAACCTCATTTATATTGGAATTTCTAAAAGTAAATCTTAGCTACATTTTCACGAAGATCTTTAAAAATGTGTTTTATGTCGGCGGAATAGGTTTTGCACAGTTCCAGGAGAAATCTCCATAATCTCAATTATACACAATTCAGATTTCTAGCTCTTACGGCTTGGGTTTGTCTTTGATCGTCAGTCATCAGTCTGTCAGTCAATCGGGAGAAATAGGACTTCCATTTGAAATACTCACTTTTGAGTTAGGTATCTGTTTAGGCCACGTCGAAACACAGCATCGGTAAACGCATTCTTGAACATGTACAACACACTGGCTGGCTTGGCATAGGATATGGTACCATAGCGTCCCGATATCTCATTGGGTGTTTGGACGTAGTGCGACATGGGCGTAGATATGGAAGCATCATTTATCAGGGCGCTGTTGTAGTCACTCACATGAAAGATCTGATAGGTATTCCATTCTGGAAAGGCTATATCATTGGATTCATATGAAAAGAGGGTGGCGAAACCCTCTTTGAGCCACAGATAGGTCCACCATTTGAGCGATACCAAATCTCCGAACCACATGTGCGCATACTCGTGTCCAATAATATTAGTAATGCTCGTTTTGAGATTAATCGTGGATGTCTCCTTGGTCCACCACATGTACTGCTCCCGATAGGTGGCTAGGCCCCAATTCTCCATGGCGCCGGCTGAAAAGTCCGGTATGCCCGCTTGATCTAGTTTGGGTAGCGCAAACGGCACACCAAGATATTTTTCCAAGCTTGCCTCAACTACTAGGCCGGACCAGAGGGTCCACTCCTGTTGATCCTGCTTGCCCTTGCGCGAAAATACACGTTGGGGTAAACCATTTAGCTCGCCGCCTGTGGACTCAAACTCCGAGACAATGAAGGCTATCAAATAGGTGGACATCTTGGGTGTTGTTAGGAAAACCGTTTTGCCGTTGCTATCATAAGATCGATGTTGATTAGCAAATCATCTTTAACCCACTCACACTCACCTCGATTCGGCTTCATTCACTGGCATGTTACTGATGGCATTGTGGCTGGGATCGTGATGGATGGTAATCGTAAAGTTGGCCCGCTTGGCTGGCTCATCGTAGCAGGGGAAGGCGTGACGCGCATTGGTACTCTCGAACTGTGTGGTGGCCAGATAGCTGGAGAGTAAGCCGTTCAATTATCAAATCGATTGATTCACATACTTTAATACCAATAAACTTACTGTACGACATTGCTGTCATCCGTGTAGGTGGATATATAAAAACCGCCCATATCGTTGCGCAACAGACCCGTATAGTTGATGCTTAGCGTCCAGTTACTGTCTTTGGCAAAGCTTATTGTGTCGTCGACCGGTTTGAAGGTCAGAAATTCGCGTGTGTTTTCATAATTCACATTCAGACTTATCGGTGCACTCGTCGCAGAATCCTTGCTTTGAAGTATGGCTTCAAAATTTTCAGTTTGACGCGCATGCAGAGTAATTGTATTGGAGGCCTCGAGCACCTGCAGGTCGATCGTGACACTGCCACTAAAGTTACGAGTGCCATTGTGAACTTGTGTCCACAGCTCCACATTGTAGGCTATGGGCACCGTATTGTTGGGCAATCGATAGTTATCCTCGCTGTTGTTATCCTCGCGCGTTTCAAACGATCCCGATAAGGCCTGATATCCTTTCGTTTCCAGCTGCACCACATCCTCCACCGGCGGCAGACGAGCCTGTTGACTAGCCGCAACCAGCAGCAGCAGCAACGGCCACGAATTCAACATCCAACGCGCCATGTCGAGCGCTCTAAATTTAAATATATATAAAGCTTCGGCTATGCAATGCTCTCGAATTTATAGAAAACTTCATATCTTATCCTGCAGGGCAATCATCATATAGATAACTCCCTGATAAACGAACGATAAAGTACACTTAATGCACTCATTAGCCCAAGTAGTTAAGTTGGTTCGGTATTTGCTACATGAGTAGTTATTGGTTCGTAATAAAATCGATTGTCCATCGGTTAGCCAGCTTATCTCTAGACATGGGCTATAAATGATTTCAATTTGGTTGCTGCATTAAAATAGTTTACGCGTACAATTGCACTTATATAGAAATTCAACCTTACACTCATGATAAAAGTGAATGACTTTTAATTTCTACCAAGTTTCATAATAGTATCAGCAGCAGGTCATCAATGAATGTATTGCTTACTTTACGTGTATTAAAAATTCCCTATTAACAATTGGTTGAAGTAAATGAATTAAAAGCCTCTGGATTAATTCAGGAAAATCGCATACAAAGGTGATTTTTATGAGCGAGTAATTAAGAGCGATAATACGAGAGAGAGAGAGAGAGAGAGAGAGAGAGAGAGAGAGAGAGAGCGACAGAGAGGGGGAAAGTACGCTAGAGACAAAAGCAAGAAAATGAGACAAAGAGTGGGAGTGGTTGGGGTAAATATGAGAGAGAATGACAGAGAGAGTGAGATAGCAAGGAGAAGTGGCGGAGCATAAGAGAGATAAGTGCGAAAATACATAAAAAATTAGTAAAGCAAAACCTTTCATTTATGCACCGCTAATACACACTACAAAATATGTAAGACATTTTTTAAATGATAAAAATCGCATATAGTTCCGATATTTCATGGATTTTTTTGGATATTGGATTTTTGGTAGGCGCAGCTTCCCTGTTTAGTTTTTTTTACCCTAAACTTAATTTCGATTATTTTGCTACTTAGTTAAATTTATTTTAGTTAACTTTCGACTTAAATTATACACTTAATACAATGGCTAAAACTGCAGCTTTACGCGTAACGCACTGCGTACCATTTTGCTGGCCGCACTCAATAGGCCTGCGGGTCGATTGGACCCGTTGGCCACGCTGAGAGATGCTGTATAGGTGTTTTCACTGCCAGCTGGGGACAGTTCCTTGAGCAGCCAATTGTGTATTTGGCGCTCGAATTTCTCCAAAAATTGTTCGCTGTTGCGCATCTTCTTGCCCACCCGCCGCGAGTCTATAGATATCAAAGGCTGCTTGGGACTGAGATGCTCCAGTTGCAGATACATTTCAATATTTTGACGCAACGTGGCAAACTAAATGGTTGAAGGAAATGCTGTTTAATAAAACGTGGCTAATTCAGATAGTAAAAACTTACATGGTGTTTTTGACGCTCTGGCACGAATTCGGTAATATCATTAAACAGCTGCACAAAGAAGGTGGATCGAGCGAGCAACTTGTAGTTCTGGTCTATAAAATGCCAGATAACCGAACGTGCCGCCATATTCGATTTGAATACATAGGACAAATACATCATAGCCTCCCGTTCGTTCAGCAAAGTATACGTGGAATTCTCGCCCAGCAACAGATTCAAATAGTGTCGCATATGCTGATGACTTTGTGTGCAGCGCAGCGAATAAATCATATCATCATAATAGGCAGAATTTCGATCCGTAACATGCAGCAAATCGATTAACCTGCCGAACTCCTCATCGCTCAGGTGTCGCACACCCATGCACAATATAATATCGTGCATGGCATAATAATCCGGATAATCGCTCTCAAAGTTATTATTCTTGAAGATATACTCATGCGCCAGCCGATGCGTATAGTCCAGGCATTCGGGCATATCCACACGGCAGGCCATGTGCAAGATATCGGAGCGTGCCAGTATATCCATGGTTGCCTCTGCAGTATCATGTTTGTGGAAGAGACGCAGAAATGTGGGCGCAACCAAACGACGCACGAACTGCTTAAACAGCGAATGGGCTGTGGTGCCATAGAGATTGCAGTCGAGAAACTCTATGGTGTTGGCCACCTGACTCCAGGGCGTTAGATCTTCCTCAAATTTCAAATACTTGAACAGCTCAAAGATCACATCAACCGATTCGAGCTCATTGCGTTCGATCAGTGGAGCCAGATCCTGAAATAGCGCCGCGCGATTCATGGCATGTATAAGCGAATGATTCTGTTGGAGCTGCCGTGCAATTGCCTGCAGATTGTCCGTATCATAGAGCACATGATAGAAGCCCGTCTGCTGTTTATTAACAATCAGCCAGTCGCGTCCTCCCAGCTGCAGCTGCAGTTCCTCCAGACTCAACGTATGCTCCATGACCGGCGGCATAAAGTACTCGGCATGCGTATGCTCAAAGCTGGGCGACTGGGCGCTGGCAAAGTTCAGTGGTATCCACCAGTGCTCACTCTTTGAGTGTATCGAACGTTGCCTCAGGGTGATTGTATCGTTCTCATAGTTCCGTATGACCGAGACAATGGGAAGCCATTCACTGTGCGTCCAGGACAGCATGATGTCACGCACCATATGCGCCCAGGATTGTTGCAGGAATTGTTCATCTTCCAGCACGGACTCCTGGATGGCATCGAACAGATCCTGCTCGCTGACAACGCTGTATTGGCTGGAAGATCGTTAAACTTATGGCACATCAATTGCAATTGATCAGTTCAGTGGCTCCCCTCCGGGACTTACAATTTCTTCAGATAACGGCTAATTCCCTGCACAAAGGTCTTCTGATGGAAGGCGTGATGAAACATCTTGATGACGCAGGCGGCACGCTTATAGCTTATAATATCAAAGACATGCATAATATCCGGCTCGGTTTCCACGTAGTATGTCATTGGGCGCACATCAAAGAAACTACTGTAGCTATAAGCATGCTCCGCTTCATCTCTGATAAATATATCCATGACCCTGTCTTCGGGATGCAGCTGTAGGCAGATAATTTGGTTAATACAGGAGAGGGATATGTCTGGAAGAGTAGTCAATCGTCCGCGTGACATTCATCCCTTTTACAACAACTTACCAAATCAGTTATAACATAGCTAAAGTAGGTGGCAAAGCCTTCGTTTATCCAGACGTAGGACCACCATTCCGGCGACACCAGATTACCGAACCACTGATGCGATATCTCGTGATTCTGCATTAGTTTATTTTTTAAACGCTTGTGCTTGTCCGTTACATCCAGTGATAGCAGACTATCGTCCCGGAAGGTGATTAGACCCCAATTCTCCATGGCAGCGCCCTGGTTCTTTTTAAGCGCCACGTGATCCAACTTGGGCAGCGAGTATCGGACACCAAAGTAATCCTCCAGTGCGGCCACAGTAAGCACTGCATTCTTTAGTGCGGTGCGACCCTTGTCCTTGCTTGTGGGCGAGGAATAGATGCTCTGCGTAACGCCGCGATACGTCTCCGAGATGTGCTCAAAATTGGAGATAACAAATGCCACCAAATATGTGGACATGGGCGGTGTAGTCTGGAAAGTGGTTGTTGTCAGCTCGCTGCACTCAATACGAAATCGCATTATAACTAAGTCAAAGATTAGGCTTTAGAGGAGACTTACCCATGATTTAGCACCTCGAGCACTGGCATATTTGAAACTGCCATCAAGCTGCTGCTGTGAGTCAGTCTGATGCTATAGTTGGACTTAAAGGCGGGCTCATCATAGCAGGGGAAGATCAAACGTGCATATGTCGGTTCCGATTGGGTGGCTGCCACATAGCTGTAAACAATTAAATATTAAATATTAAATTGTATTTAATCTTCAGAAACACTCAAAAATTAATTAGGAACTGCTAGTTCTTTGAACTGGCTTTAAAGGCAATTCTCAGCATTATACGAATCGCTGTGTAAAGCCAAATCAAAACAAACACATTGCCTTGTTTCCATCGAGATTCATTGAGAAAGCGGCAATAATAATAAATAATCTATTTTATAAATTTTGTTGTTGTCAGCGCCTTATCGGGGCTGCTGCTCAGCTGTCGTCGTCGATAAGGGACTGACAACAAGTCGCAGCCAGATTTTGTTGTGGTCACAGTCATGCCCCTTTATAAAGAAAACCATTGAGCCATCCGCCACAATGTTTGTGCGTCTATGAAGATTTGTTTATATGCAACGTGAATGACGCGCATAACGAATATGAGTACTCTACTATTGTGTGATAAGGCCACGCTTGACGTGTGACTATCAACAAGTGAGTGTGCTTGAGATAAGAGTGTTTGGCCAGACAAATACCCTGTAGTCAAGTCTAAGGGAAGAGGATAGGTGAATAGCAGTCTAGAATATAAATAAACTAACAGTTAAGTGCGTATTTTAATGTTTGCAATTCATTATTTTTCATCATGTTTGGTATACAAAACTCCACATATCAAATTTCCCAACTTTAGCTCTTTTAAACACTGAGAACTGACTTTGTTTATATGACTGCTACCCTATTTTAGCATTTGTCTGCTAGCAGGGTATAAAAAGTGAAAACTAACAAAAGCAGAAAAAAAGCAAAAGTTATAATTATGCGAATATCATTATCGTTTAAATAAAGAGTTGTGATTATATAATAAGAAAGCACGCGCGCGCGTTTATAGAATACGTTTTTGTAATTGTGTATGTAATGCATTTGCGCCTTTGAACCTAGCTACACAATGAGGCTTATCAAGCCGGAACAACAACAGCCAGAAACAACAACAAGTATAACTCACACAGTCCGATTGTTGAGCAGCTCCTCATAGGCCATCCAATACAGACCCTTAGGACGAGTGCCCATCAGGCCCGTGTAGGAGATGTGCAGTCGATATCGCTGTCCGGCCTCAAAGGCCTGATAGTTAACGAGCGGATGTACGATGAGAAATGTGGTATGCGGATCATACGTATGCGTAATATCATCCACAAGTTCACCCAAAGCCTCTGGCATGTGTGGGTCAAGTAGTCGCAGCGTTATCTGAATATCGCTCAAGTTCTTTGCATGTAGCACAATCTCATTCGTTGAACGCCTAATCTCAATGTCTATGGTGGTATTTCCGCTAAAGCGCCAATCCCCAAGATGTATATTAGTGCTAATGTCCAGCTGATAGCTCAATGGGTACGTATCGTTCGGCAGGCGCAGCGATCGCGTGGACAGCAGATGTGGCGATGGGGTTGTCGTTGCCGTTGCCACTGCCTCAACTGCCACAGCCTCCTGCGACCAGCCGAGTGCCGCAACCAGCACAATTATAATACTAGCACACGGAGTAAACATTTCGGCAATGTGATTAAGCGAGCACACACGTTGGCTACCAAAACTCGACTAAACGTTGCGTTGGGGCGACTGCGGTTAAGCGTTTAAAGCCTGCTGTTTGCTGCTGATAAGATAACAACTGATTGATCGTATAAGAGCGTCGAGTGCTGCTGTTGTTGCTGTCTTATACATTTGGGAATCGGAATTCTGCTCACGCCATCCACTTGCGACAGGTCAGTGCACAATCCTGACTCTCCTTTGAGCTAGGCGCTCTTAAGTACTCTCTTTAGAATTAATTTCCCATTCTTAAACAGCGCACAACGCTGAACAGCTTGTCTGTTATTGTGCACTGTGAGAAATTGGCAGCGACTTGCACATTTCTATATGAAATTTCCAATTTTATAATTAAATTTAAAAACAATAATTTTGACTCTGGACAAGACCGAGCAGTCTCTGCATGTATACAAGTATTTATTAATACCATAACCTATAATAATAATTTATATATATAAAACGAAATAAATAAACCAAAAATCGAATTTACTTCAGAAAATTGTTATTTAGATGCATATGAAAAATATTAATTATTTTATTATTATTTTTTTCATTTTATAAATGTTAAAAAATAATTTACAACTTTATATAACTTAATTACTATATAAATGCAATATGCATGCACGAGAATTTAAATCAGAGTATATAAAATTACAAAAAAAATTAATTTCATATAAAACACCAAATAAAAATTGTTTTAAAATATAAAAAACTCTTACACGCAAATTCAAATCGATCGTTAAAGTGTTTGGCACCTGTTCTTTTTTTGCGGTGTATGGCCTGTGCTAAATACACTGCATTAATTGCCCTTGCGATTGCTTCGGCGAATCGTTCGTTTGCATTGTTGTGTTTGTGAGCAAAACACCCGATCGAATTTGGGCCATGGGCAACATATATCATCGGGTTGCACAAGCCAAACGCTTCAGTCGATGCTTGACTCTCTTAACGTGAAAATGTCAATTTGCCGCTGCCTTAAATTACTGTCGATATGGATATTACTGTGTGCTTGTATTATGCGCCATGTGCAGGCGCGACAAGATAACATAATAAAGCGCAATTGCTCTGAGAATGGACAATATGTGAGTATATGGCAAGATCAGACAGTTTTAACATAAGCAATTACAATTTATATGCATACTTTAGTGCCAAATGCATATGGACTGTTGTTCCCGGAAGTGTATGACATATATGTACAAGTGCGCGCCCAGAGTGCCAGAGAAATATCCTGAAAACAATGCCAGCCCAACGGGCTTGAATTCTCTGCCAGACTTTTGGTGGCCTCTATACCATGCGAATATACCACTCAACGAAGATCTTGAGATTGTTACGCTGCAAGATGATAAGACCACAACAAGAGCTGAGCTTGTTGAAAACAGCAGCCAATCAGCTGAGAAAGCGGGCGTAGCATACGATATAGTCAATCCATCAAGCACTGCTCCAACCTCGAGTGCACCCCGCTGTAAACGCGTTGGCGATATGGTAAGCGAATGAAGGGTATATCTTACTTTCACTCTTATATATTTATATATATATATATATTTATTTGCTTTTCAGTGCTCAGATAGCAGCGAATGCTGTACGATGCGTTGTCACACCTACCTCCATAAGTGCGTCACCTGAAGCCACAAGCCCGCTTACTCACTAAACCTACCCACATGTATTTATATGGCATAAGTTTTTGTATACTGATTGTGTTTTATTATTAAACAAGTCTTTGCACATATTTACAGCTGAATTTTTAATTTAATTAAGAGCTCAGCAACAGCACATTTTGTTCTTTAACTGTACTGAATATTGTCAAATGACTTTATGATTTGAAAATTTTATGATTAATAACAATTAGAATTCACTATACGAAACGAGCAATATTCCAAGTAAAGTTAGTTAATGTTAACAATTCAAGTGTGACAAATATTACGAATGCAAATATATGAGAAAACAAATACCTTGTTTTGGCAGTACTTTTGTTTATAGCTAGCATATATAAACGATACATATTATATATAGATATATATATATATATATATATATATATATATATATATATATATGAATATATATATTACATCACTTTCAGCTTGATTAAATAAACTAGTTCACGCTTCTACAAAGTCAGAGGTATGAAACTATTCATAACGACCTCAATAAGTGTGGAAAGAATTTGTATTTGGAGGTTGCGATCTTTCTGACAAAACTCTAAGGCCCATAGATAGAGAAGAGTTAATCTAAATATGTATATATATATATATATGTATATATATCTATAATGATGAAATTTGGTTTATTACGAGCTGGACTACTATATCATATACCTCATATACCTCCGGCAGGAATAAACGTTCAGAAGTGAAACTTTTGCGTGAAAACCCTGTATAGAAATAAGTATAACGAGCGCCTGCTGTATGCATGCAAGTGTATATAACCTTCGGCTTTCGGAAGATAGCTGCTCTTTCGTTTTTTTTCATTTATTCATTTATTTACTTGTTTTTTTTTCTATTAGTATTTTTCAACTCAGAGCGGCTGATAAGAGGTATATAAACAAAATACCCATATCTGAGTATGTAAATGCAGCTAATTTCATCTGCGGTTTTTTCGAGTCGAAGCCCGCATTTAAGTATTTTTATCAGCACACAGTTTAATTTGCGAATTCCCCGCTCTACGCGGAATTCGACTATAGCTCATATATATTGATAATTTCTGACAATTTAATAAAGCTTAAGATTCATGCAGTGGAAAATCATTTGAAAAAACAATACTTTCTGATTTTCTACCTTTTGATATAACATACGCAAATAGTTCATGATATTTGTTTTTTTTTTTTTCAAATGAATTAAGTAGCGTTTAATAGTGTAACAAAATAGTTTACCTGGCGTTGCCCGGCTCAAATTAGTTAAGATGTTTTTTGACTGCAATTGAGGGAAGTACAAAAATTCGCCTCTTTTAATTTATAGAACATACATATATTCAATTAAAACAAATAAGAGGTTCTAGTCGGGAGCTCCGGACTAGGGGATACCCTGAACCCTCTTCTTCCAACATCAAATGCATATATATATTCTATTTTAAAAGCTATATGTCAAGTTTGATGAATCTAGCTCTTATTATTTACCAAAATTGCCCAAAAAACAGGATATCGTATCGATTTTTATCGATTGCTTGGAAACGGAGTAAGTTATCGATTATCGGAAACAAACTCGATCTGCGCAGGCACTAGGAGCACCTACATCTAAAATTTCTAGTCTCTAGTTCTTATAGGTTCTAAGATCCTTGCGTTCATACATACGGTCGTTGCTTGGTTTCTGATGATTGTTGTTCTTCACCGAGCGGTTCGTATAAAGTGCATTCAGTTTAATAAAATATATATATCTTAGGGGATAGGAGCAAATTGTGAATTCGTAGAGCCCACTACATGTGATACCTTTTGTCTAACAATACCCGCCGTCGTTCAAAAACGACTTTCTTTATAGTTTTCTTTTATTTTATTTTAAAGAAAATGTTCCTTTGTATTACATATTGCATGCCAAAACTGCATTACCCGCTGCATAAACATAAGAGTAGCACTTATGCCACTTTAAATGTAACCCAGCTACCTTAAGGTCAAGCATCCGAGCAGCATTGATTAATATGTAAACAGTGTTATCTGTACCTGGACTTGGTTTGTTTGGTTGACTTTCAATATTTGCCCAGTAATTTAACTGGGGAGAATATTCAATTATCTCGAACTCTTGACACAGATGTTATCAACTACCTTGACTTGGGCAAATAGCAATTGGAGTTGCATGTCAAACGAGCAAAAACTTGCCAATTAATTATAGACCGGGGTCATCTAACTAAAAGCTGCTCTTAAAATCAAGCTCCAATCGGCTGAGCACTTCAGTTCACTCGAAGTAGCACTAGAAGCAGACTCACTGGGGAAAAAAAATGATTCTGATGCCACTGCTGCTGCTGCCTCTGCTGCTGTTTGATGCTGCTGTAAGTTGGCATTTGACTATCATATTGCTTAGCTGTTTGACTGGGACTTCATTCAAATCGGTAGAATGCTAAGGCCTTAATGCCGCTCAACGCTACGGGCAATGCAGCGAACAAAATTCCAAATTTCCCGCCGGCGCAACAGAATTCAGCATCGGTCAATCCGGAGGATATTAACCTCTTCACAAACATGTTCCTTAGCCTATTGAAGGGAACTGGCGATTGGCGCAATCAGGTGGCCATCGATACGGTGCAGAGCGTGTGGCAAAGTCCGCCAATTGTTGACTACAGCCATCGGCTTTTTTCCACTAAGCTTTATAAATAACCTTATCGGGGAAATGAAATTGTAGACAAATGTGTTTTCAATAAATAAATCAAATCCACATATCCAAAAGCATTCCATGCATACCGAATCCGTCTATAAAAGCAGCTGCAAATTTTTATTGCTAGTTAGAAAATATTCGTCATGCAACTATCTAGGAGCACCCTGTGGCTGTTTTTCGGTCTTGGAGCGTTGGTTAATGTTGTACTCAGCGGAGTTGTCAAAAATATCACCAGTGAGGCAAAAGACCCATTAGTTTCAGATGTCATTGATTTTGATGGGAGTGCCAGCATAAGGAAATCAAAGGTTCAACTACCTGAGGTATGATTGAAATACATATATAGTTTGATAGAATGTTTATAATTGAATTACTCTTAGAGCATGGAACAACCACCAGAAACCCCTGATGCCGAAATAATTCCCTTCAGAAATGATTTGTCGCAGGTGCGATTTAGTCTTCATTAAACACATTTATCATTGGATACTATATTGTCTATTTGATTATTTAGTGGAAGCGCATGGAGTTAATGGACACCTGCAGAGGAATTGGCACCAACTGCACTCGGTCCGAGGAATGCTGCACGCTTCAATGTTTAAAGAACGGCAAAATCTGTTCCTTCTAGTAAAAACCATGTTAAATAAATTAGTTGCTGTGCACCTTAATTATTTCTTTAAAAATTCAGTTATTCAATTATATAAGAAATTGTCTCCGACTAAAATTGTGGGTTGTGTTAGCCACAGTAGTATGGTACATCCTGCACCCAGTTAAAACTGCTGCTTCTTTTTATACATACATGCACAAAAACACACATTGACAAAGACTTCTTCCGCCCTTAGCCCGAAACAATGGAAAATGAAATCTTAATAGGCATCTGCTGTTATGGTTCGACATTTATTTTCAGAGCATTAGTTTGACATGACAATATGTGTAAATATCAAGGTTCACGGCTATACCTTAAAAGCTACGTTTTTATTGAAATTTTGGCGAAACGGAAAAGGGTTCCATAGAGTAAAATATTCTGAAATTGTTTACGCTTTACTACAACCTAATTCCAACGTATAGTGTTACTTGCTTTTATAACCCTGGATGTTCCGAAAAAACTAAATTGTAAAGCGATACATATCGATTGCTTTGAAACGGGATTAGCTATCGGCTATTTAAAGCAAGCCTACATTTCAAATTTAAAGTCTGTACCCTTTTAGTTTCCGAGATCGACGCTTTCAAACAGATGAACCGACAGGCGGTCCGCTGAGCAATGAAAATATATATATGTCATATGCTTTCTTTTCCCCATTACATGGATTTGCACAGAACAAATATAACAATTTTAAACACTATCAATAGGTTTGGGCATTAAAATAAATACATTTTTGCAGAGTATGTTAAATCAATATAGATTGGTTGACAATTTTTTGCTATCTGGAGGAATAGAAGAGCTTCGGACTTAATATATTTGTATTATACTCCCGTTGGAGCATATTTACAAGTTGCACCGACTATTTTTTTGTAAATAGTAAGCTAGAAAAAAATAAGGGTATCGTTTGGTCGAGAGCTCTCACAATTCTAAAGTATTATTCTAATAAATGTGGTTTCGATAAATATTTAAGAAATCTGGCCAGTCAGATATTTACAGCATGTTCACAGTATAACGAATGAATCAAACTGCGTATATGCTTATCGTTTAAAATGTTTTCCTTAAACAAAAATTTAAATAAATAAGTAAAACTGATCTAGTAGAGAGGTTCTGACTAGCAGATACCGGGAACCCAGGGTCTTCAATAATGAAATATTCACAAGCATATAAATCTCTATCACTTAAAATGTCTGAGATAGATGCGTTCGGCGAGATGAATGGACAAACGTTTGTTCAAACAGGCGGACATGTCTAAATCGACTCAGTTGTTGCTACTGGACAAAAATATATATATTCCATTTGATGTCAAAGATACCGCCTTTTGCCTGTTGCATACGTTTGCTCCAAGTTAACCAATATAAATGGCGTCACGGTATATTATTTATATATTGTATATCGATATCAAAATCTTTTTCTTATACAAACAAAAAAAACAGATGTAAGCCAGAAGTACATATGTTATATAAATACATACGATTTATATGGCCACTGTTTCCTATAAAAGCTCGAAAATGTATGAATTGCTTACAGTATTAGATGTGCAATTACTATATTAAGAATGAAAATAACTTTTTGCGCATTGTTTTTAATAAATTTTCTGGGAATGGTGCTACTTGTGGTTGCGGAAGAAGATGTTTTCAAAAAATTGTTGGATAAGATTCCGAACGTTAGAAGTTCCGCTATAAAATTGCCACAGGTGCAGTCTACATAAGCATAAGAATGCAATGTATATTACAAAAATGTATACATATATTATATACTGTTTGTCGTCATGTTGATTTCAGCCAAAACGGGTAAATCCATTTTTAAGGTACAGAAACGATACCAAAGTTATGCCCCTCTCCAAGCATTTGTCACAGGTATGGATTTAATTAAGTTCCATTTAACAATACAATTTTGCAATTGAAATTTCTTCTTACTAATCCACTTTTAGAGAGAGCGCTTGACAATATTTGAAGACTGCCAGTCAATAGGTGGAGTGTGCAGATTGCCCGAGGAATGTTGCACCCTAAAGTGTTTAAAGCTATCCAAACTATGTGTTATTTAAAATCGGATTTGGTCTATCGAAATTAAGTCAAACACGAGATAACTGCATACTTGCTTTAATTATGTATATATCGTATATCCTACTAATTATTTATGTTATTCACATTGAACGTTAACGATTAAGTATTACTAGTAAACAGAGAAATTGACAGAAGTAGACTTGTATTGGGGATGCTGCTGAAAGCATGGTGTGAGACAAGGAAGATAGTCTCTGCCGGCCAAGCTGGGCATGGCCCGAGTATGTTGTGCCCGAGTTTGGTGTCCAGTTCACTAACAGAGAACAGAGATAATGAGAAGTGCGCTAGAGGAATAGGAAAATCTTCCAATTCGAATGTGCAGGCCATACTTAGTTTAATGGACGTGCTTTTGAGAAGACACATTGTGCTGCCAGTATGTCTAATTATGAGGACATATATATATAAACGGAAAACAAAAGCAAATCAGTAAAAAATGTTACATTTCCAATTTTATAAAATTTAATTTGAACCATATTTCAAAATGTTGTGAAGGCGTTGCAGTCTCTTAAGTATTATATACACGGGAGTGTGCGACTGAAGAAAACAACGTCACACGTTCCTATTCATTTTTACACCCCGAAATCATGAGAAAATCTCTTAGCTTTTTAGAGCTAGATTTTCCAAATTTGAATTTAGCTTCTTGAATATTATCTATATAAATCAAGTTTATTTCATTTTATAGCTATTCCTACCGCCCCGACTACACAACATAGCTATAAATCAAATAATTAAACGAATTGGAACTATCCTGCAATTTAAGGAATTTGTCATTTTGAGAATATACGAATATTCTATAGCATAATAAGATCTACTGTTGATTTTTTACAAATCTGCCTCTCTGCCTCTCTCATTTTCTATTTCTCTCTCTGTCTCTCCCAGCCTCTCTATCTCTCTTTCTAGAAGAAGATTCTTTCGTTCTATATCTCTTTATCTCCATCTTTCTTTCTCACTCTTTATTATTAACCGCCTGGCATTCTCTCACTCTCTCTCTTCTTATTTCTCTCTTTCTTTCTCTGTCTCTCTGTCGCTATCTCTCTGGCAGCCCCTATCTCTCTCTCTCTTCCTGACTCTCTGTCCTTGTCTCTGCCTGTCTCTCTCTGCCGTTCTCTCTCTCTCTCTCTTTCTCTAATTCAGCATCCAGTCGTCTGGCATTAATAAACTGTATCAACTGACACGCCCATCAAGCACCCATTGACAGTAATGTGAAATGAAGCACAATCAAATGGCATCTGTTCATCAATTTGTGCGTGTTTGCAAGAGCTAACCCACACATAAGCACACAGAAACACCCAAACATGCAAACACGTAAACACACACGCATGCACATACACTACAAGAGCAAACAATATTTCCGCCATTGCAGACAATGCGACTGAGTCGTCATGCAAATTTTTATATTCATAGACATGCATTGACACGTACGCTTACATATACAAGCGCACCCCTCCCTCCCGCTATTCACACACATATGAGATACACAGGTAACTCAAGTGATATATTTTTTGCGGCAAACACAAAACCAATACAATGAATTTAGACAGCAATTGTTTGGTTTTGTTGTTGTTGTTGTTGTTGCTTCTGTTGTTGTTCAACTGTTAGTTGGTTCTTTTGTGTATTTTATCGGCTTATTCAATATGACAGCATATTTGTGGTGTATTATGTTATTACAGGTGTAAGATTTTTAGCCCCAATGAGAAGTTTATCTAAAGCTGTTTAAGCAATTAGAATTCGATTAAAATTCAGCTTATTGCCTCTTTATGCGTATTATAAAAAAATTGATATAGACAAATACAATACAAATATGGTAAATAAAGCTGCGATTTGAATTTGAGCAAGTGCTCTTGTACTAAACTAAATTTGATATCCGTTTTACAAGTCTGATTTGATATTTGAAAGAGTTCGTGTTATCTATTTTTAAAGCTTATCCACCTCCAAGTCGAAAAAGGGTAAACTATTTAAAACCACTTTTTTTTAGTTGTCTTAAATCTCTAGGTTTCTAGACCCTGAAGACATTCTTCAATAGCTTGGTGTTAATGGTCCGATCCTTATGGAAAATGTGTGTATATACCAAAGCGCAAGACTAGATTTTTTCGAATTTCTGTGAGGTTTAATAAAAGCAAGGATCGACACGCTCAGACAGATTAAGTTTATATTCCTTCTAACTGTTACACACAATTGCACAAAAACATTATACTCTTTTTAACCATTTCAAGGGATTCAGAGTATAGTCCTTTCATAAGCATTAGCAATTGGTTTTATTTGTAATTCCTTACCTTGATAAGTAGATTTGTATCCTCTCTTTACTTGCTCAGATAAAATATTTAATTCATTCCAAGGCCAAAAATGTTTTATTTTAAATAGGTTTTCCATTTGTTGTTGTAGTTGTACTCATAGAACCCATATACATAAATACATTTTCATTTGTATTTTTGTTGTTGTTAGTTAGACACACGTGCTGCTGGTGTACATACGCTTCGAATATTTGCATAAAAATCGCATTCATAGCTAAAATGTGGACCACTTGAGTGCGAGCAATTGAGCGGGGAAGTGCAGTGGCAGGAGGGGTCGGGGATATAAAAGCCAAGGGCCATCAAGGTAAATAAAACAGCAGTCCGTGCCACGATTTGGGTTGCCCGGCAACCAGAGCTCAGCACGTCTTTCGATTTAGTGGCTTGGATTTTTGGAAGCAAGCGCTCACTTTTTTACATCTTCTTCTTATTATTATTTTGCGCTTATTTTTCGTGTTGGGAGGAAGACATAAAATCTGCGGAAGTCTTCAACACATCCGGCATGCATTGAAAAGCTGTTCTACCCGCTCCCCGCACCCATTCTACCCTATTCACATCATTGCGAGCGATAAGAGGTCGCGCTGCGTGACACAATTCGCGGGGCAAACAGATTTTTGTGCTCGGGTTCTTTCGCAGTGCTGCAAACCGGGAAATCACTTTTCATGGCAAGCTTTTCGGTGTCTCAATATCGATTGCGTGGCCCATCAAAATTCCATATGCACACAATCGGCTTCAGTTTCATATGCTTAAGCATTCCGCCTTAAAGTATGCAGTGAAGAAAAAAGATACGCGTGCAATTTGTCATGTGTGGCAAGTGCTTTCACCCCACCCAACCAGCGACCACCATCTTATTAGGGATTGCATTTGACAGTTGCTGTTGAATGTGTCTTTGGTCTGTGTGTGCCGTGGCTCAATTTGCTTTCCTTTTGTGGCTTATGTGTGCGTTGGTGCATAAAACTTTTACATTCGCTCTGTTGCCGATGTGGCAGACACTTAAATGTTGAATGAATAATTTCACATGCCACGACCCACGGCCTCCAAAACTTTTTGCCGTTGACGTCAGGTGGCAACTGGCTTGAATTTTATGCAAGAACTTTGCTTAATAAGTGGTCGCAATTTCCCTTTGCCATTTGAGAAATTGTTTAATTGAAGTTCCACAGCCGTTGAAAACGAAATGTATCCCACATAAAGAAACCTTCTCCTTATACATTTATTAAAAAATTTTCTAAGTGTTTTCATATCAATTTCGCTACTCCATTTTGTAAGTTGTTTTTTATTCAAATACTTCGCTTAGTCTCACAAGCGACCGTGTCAGTCTTCATAACTATTTATTTATATTTCTGCTAAGTTTTCCCCAATTATTTTACTTTCCTTAAGTACGATAACAAAACAGCTAAGATTTAATAAATATCGAGCAGAGATAGTTGCAATACTCAAATGTTTCAAATTTAATTGTTGCTCTAGTTTTACCTGAATATCTAACAATTTGCCAACAAATATTTGAATAAAATTACTTTAATTATAAAAAATAAATATATAGTTTTATCTGCATAGCCTTACCATCAACAATGCGTGTGAAAGGGCATTGCCATTTTCGTTTATAGACTATCGTATCATTTACCAACACTGAGTGCATATTCAACGCTATTTAAAACGTGTAAGAAAAACAAGAAGGAAGGAAAACCGATGGCAAATGTAAGTTTTTATGATAAATAATATTTACAATTTAATTGCTTAGGTTTTAATAAATGATAGGGCCAAATACAGGCACTTGACATTCATAAGCATGTACATAATTAACTTTTCCAAACTTTTTTAACAGTCTATAAGCAAAAAATGTATAAATTTTAATTACGTTCTAAATATGACCAACTACTTGTTTGTAGACAGATTGGCCGACGCTCGCCAGTTCTTCGCCCTCCAGTGGGAATATGTAAATGTTACCAAGAATAATGTAATTAGTTTGTTTTAAGCCGCTTGGCACGACTTAAATAGAATATAGATTAATTTATTACTTCCATAATAGTTTGCAAATGCATTTAATCTTCTGATAGTTGAACATATTTTATATTTGAACTCATAAAGTCAATGCACGACTGGCGACATGTTGCCAGTGCCATGGTCCGTGCCCAGCCTGCGGCCCAGGCAATGTCAACATGACCCAAATGAACTTTTGCTTCCGCCTGGTCAGAAACAGGAAGCGTTCGCCGGGCATTGAACCGGCACAAGCTAAATGCAGCATGATGCAACTAAATTTTCTATACTTGACTGGCTTATCAGCACTGACCTTCATATCACCGACCAAACCACGGAAGTGGGTGGTTCGAATGAAAAAAAAAGTATAAAATAAATGACAAAATGCTGCAAAAGTGTATTTAACAGCAGCTGTGTGCGTATGTGTGTGTGTGTGACTTGTGTGTGTAAAAAGCACATCAAAACCTGTGCACATGCTTATGTTTGCATATATCTAAGCTCTGGCGGCCCATTGGACTTGACAGCAACAACAAAGAGGACACTGACTCAAAAAAGGCAGGAATTTGCTGAACTTTTTCATGCATGTGTTGTTGGTTTGCCACAAAAATTGATTTTAAATGTAACGTTGCCCAAAGCGGTGTCAATGAGGTTTGCTGTACCCCAGCTTAAAAACAAAATAAAAACCTAGATGCATAAAAAAGGCCTGTATGCGAGCGAGATTAAGTCCAACATAAGACTAGGCCGAGCGTTGTTGTTCTTCTTCCAACCACACATATGACATCAAATGGCAACTCATTATGCGGCTTTGCCCGGGCTTAAACAAAAAAAAGGCTAAATCACATCAGCAGCCGCCGTAGCAAA